TCCTTTCACAAAAATTACTTAAAAAATTATTTCAATCAATCAAAAAAATAAATAAATAAAATAAAAATAAAAAATAAATATAAATTTTTACCTTTAATTTGATTTTGTTTGTGTGTTGGTACATCCCAGGTCAAATTAACAATACCTTGATCAGTTGATTTGAAATATGAACTAATGATAAGATTACCCACCTCGAAATATTCATCTTCTAAATATTTTTTTTTTCTTTTTTAACATTAGTTATCATTGAATAAATAAAGATATATAAAAAGTAATTACTGATAAAATGATAAATACAGGTAAACCATTAGGTAAATTTAAAATTACCTCTTGGCATTGTAATTTCAACAATTGCTGCAACACTGGAAACACGTTCTGAACTTGAAGCGGTTCGTATTGTTAATTCATATCGTTGACCAGGTTTTAAATTATCCAATGTAAAACTATTCGCATGAACTTTGACCTAAAATTCAATTTCTAAGCAGTAAATTATTTATAATCTCACTATTAGCATACTTTTTAAAAGACAAAAAAAAAAGAGAAAAAGAAAAAATGAAAAGATTTTATATTTAATAAGTTAAATTACTTAAATGTTTTGTTTTTGTATTTTTTTTTTTTTTTTTTTTGTTTTTTATTCTCAAATATTCCGAAATATTTTATTTGCATTTCATTAAAATTATTATTTTATGAACTTTCTTCACTTATTAACTGTATAATGGTAAAATTGTATAAAACTATTTAATATCATAAAAATATTGTAAAAAGATTTAACATCAAAAGAAAAAGATTAACATTTTAACTACTTTACCAATTTTAATTAATACTAATTAAAAGATTATTAATCAAATATTTGTTTAATTATCATTCAAAAAAAAAAAAAAGCAAATAAACCTGTTGTCGAAGTAATGGTGCATTATCTGATGATGTTAACTGTTTTACATTTACAATATAATAATGATTCAGTGGAGCTGAAAAGAATAAATTTTTCTAATTTTAATTCAAACAAATTTATTCCTAAATAATATTCCTTATCTTTATTAAAATTTAATTAATTAAATTGAATAATAAATAATCATTCTAAATTTTATTATTTTAGCAAAATTTACACATTCTATGAAAATATTTACAATTAATTCATATCAAAGAAAAAATCTTATTATTACTATTACTATTAGCAAAAGAAAAATAAATAAAATTTAACAAGCACTAACCATTTGATAAAATTTTAAAAGGTGAAATCCATTCTAAGCGTACCATTGATGTACTTAATATATGAGCTTGAAAATCAAGCGGTGGTAATAAATCATCATCTGCTGCCGGTATACCATCAATGAGAACACGTTTAGAAATTGAAATTAGCAATGATTGTGACCAATCTTCTAAAATTGTCCCATCAGAACGCTCAGCACGAACCTATAATTTCTAAATTAATTATTAATCTAATTAATTGATTTATTTAAAAAACAATTCATTAATTATCTAACCTTATTTATCTAATAATTTATGCTTTTTGTTTTGTTTTGTTTTTTTTTTTTTTTCAGTATAACTAATCATTAATATATAAATTTATATTTTAGTTAAAATAACACTTCTTTTTTCTTTTTTTTTTGTTTATTTTATAATAAAATAAAACAAAATTATCATATTGATTTTCTTTTTCGTTTTTTTTTTTTTATTACTATTCTAATAACCTATCTCGTTTTTTTTTTTTTTTTTCCTTGTTTACTTAAAAATTCTCTTATCTTGTTTAAAATCATTTCTTTCAAAATATATGTTATAACTTATCATCTTTAATATAAGTAAATTTTTTTAATTACCTACCTGTGTGCTTGAAGCTTTTTAAAAATTCTCTTATCTTGTTTAAAATTATTTCTTCTAAAGTGTATATGATAACTTATTATAAATTCATTGTTAATATAAGCAAATTTTTATTTACCTACCTGTGCTTGAAGTTCATCACCATTTCGTACTTCATCTAAATCCAATCTTGCTTCTAATTCTTTACCAACTAATGAATATTTCCAATCAAATTCAGCTGAACCATCAGGACGATTGGTAATTCGATAACGAACCAAAAAATGTGGTTGAACTGAAAATATTATCAAAATTATCTTTGCAGTTATCTATCATGAGTGATATTGATAAAGATAAAAATAAATTAACAATAACTAACTATAAAACATAAAAATTATTTGCTTACTAATTTAATAATTTTTAATTAGAAAATGTTAAACAATTATAAACGTATATAAATATACAAATAATAATTAAAAACAATGAAATAAGCCAAAAATTAATTATTAACTTCTTTTTTTTTCTCTGTTACAAATTATTATTTGGATTTTTTTTTTTTTTTGTTTAAAATACTATACAGTTAGTTTAATTTTAAATAAACATATAAATATGTCATACCAATAATTTTAAAATATTTAATTATAATTCAATTAAAAAAAAAGAAGAGAAAAGAAAGAAATACATATATATTTCAATCAAATAATACTAACATTATTCATTTTAAAATTCACTCAAAAAATAAATCTAAATATGCTATTTTAGAAATTAGAATTAAACAATAATTTTCACACATTTTTCATTCTTACTTTTTTTTTCTTTATAATATTAATTGATTACTTTTTTTTTTGTGATATTTTTTTGCCTTTTTTTTTTGTTTATTACGATTATAAATGATCTTAATTAAAAATTAAATTAATATAGTAAATAATAATAATTAAACCAATATAGTAAATAATAATTAATAATTAAATTAATATAGTAAATAATAATTAATAAATAAACTAATATAGTAAATAATAATTGTTAAGTTAATATAGTAAATAATAATTAATAATTAAATTAATATAGTAAATAATAATTGTTAAGTTAATATAGTAAATAATAATTAATAATTAAATTAATATATTAAATAATAATTAATAAATAAATTAATTAAATTAGTAAATAATAATTAATATTATCAAATAACTAACTATCATTTTGTCTTTCATCTGGATATGACCATTGAATGTAAATTGCATCCGTTGGATGATCATAACGAGCTCGAAAATTTTGCACACGTGATGCAGGTAAGTTATTATCAATAGGTACTGCATATGATTGTTTATGATAAATAAATGATTGTAGTAGTAGTAGTAGTGATAATGATAGTGATAATGGCAGTGATAGTGATAAATGATAAAAAAATAATTGAAAATTATAAAGCAATAGCATAATTTCAACTATTATTTTGTATAGATTAGTTGAAATTGAAAAATGAATAAATAATTAATTTTTCTCCTCTTTTATGTCCTTCTCTCTCTTTTTTTTTTTCTTTTTCTTCTTTTTTTTGCAAAAATTATTGAATGATTTGAAAGAGAGAGAGAGAGAGAGAGAGAGAGGGAAGTATAGAAGTTTTGAAAGTAAGACAAATTGATAATGTTAGGAAGTGCAAATGATTATTTTTACTGATAAGAAGAAACACTTTATATATTGATATCTTTAAAAGAAAAGAAAGAAAAAAAGAAAAAAAAAAGATAAGAAAGTTTAAAAGCTATATTTCACGCTTCTGATACTTTTTTTTCTTTTTTTTCTTTTTTGTTATTGATAGTGTAATGAATGTTATTAAATTTTTGCTCATATATTTTTGTATTTTAAATATTATTTCTTATAAGAGGAAAAAGAAAAAAAAAAAATTCTTTTTTATTTATTCATATATTAACCCATTTTAAGAAAAACACTGTAAGCAATAATATTCATAAACACAAATTAAAAAAAAAAGCAAAAAAGCAGATAAAACAATTGGCAATGTTATTTGCTAAACGTACAAATTGTATAGGAAACGTTAATTTTTTTTAATTTTTTTTTAAAAAAATTAAAAAAGGTTTTCATAAATAAAAAATTGGTAATTATAATAAAAAAATAAACAGATAACATATATTAATTAGAGTGCATATTAGAAAATATATCATTAGCTATAAGAAATTACAATTTCTGAAATAATCATAAATTTTATTGATTTTGGAAAGATTAGTGAGATAAATTATAAAAAAAAAAAAAAAAAAAGAAAAAATATTCAAAAAAAAAAAACTTAGAAAATTATCCAATTTGTGTTAGCAGCACATGATAAAACAGAATATTATTTAATCAATTTTTGATATTGTATACTCGTCTAGTGTTAAGACAATCGTACAAAATTGCATTAATATATATCAAATCAAAAAATTAAAATTTAATATTTAATGGTTATATAATTATGTTTGAAATAGGCAAATAATTTAACACAAAATGATAACAAATATAGTAGTTTTTTTTCTAAATAGCAACAATTTTAGCTAACAAAGAACAAAAAAAAGAAGAACTTTACATGAGCATTCCTAAACACGAGCATTCAACTAAAAAATGCTACAAGTAATACATCAAGATTAAACATAATATCATAATTTTCTTATGCTGAAAATTAATTCCATATTACTATTATATTTGGTATAAATTTTATGGCAAAATTTTTGAAACTTTTGAGAATTGATTTGTAAATCTGAATAAATGATAAGTAAATAAAAGCATCTATTCAAATTTTTATGAAATAATGAATTCATCATATGAATGAAACTAGTGTACAAATCTTTAAAATATCTTCATCTTAGTAAATCTTACTTCTTTGATACATTTCCTCTATTTACTGGAAGCTCAATTTTGAATTAATTAACAAGGCACAATCAAAAAATATTTCGTATATAAAACTTCATGAAAAAAAAGAAAAGAATAGTGTATGCAATTTAACAAAGTGTACGCAGCATGCAAAATGTATCACATCCCTCATATATCATTATTATAATACGACTAATCATTCATTTTAAAAAAAAGAAAACAATTTATAATTTCCACCAGACATCAGATACCGACATTACTAAACAATTTGACGCAAGTAATCAAAATCCCTTTCATAAACACCTAAAAAAGAAAAAAAAGAAAAAAGAAAAATGAAATGTTATCAAGAATATGCATCAATAGAATCGTTTTCTCGACATTTGCTGCCGATGATTGACAAAAATAACACCAAACCATAAAACTAATACACATAAAGCACCACCTAATATTACTAATACTGTGGTACCAATCCATCCTAATTTTGATGCTGGTGGTTGATCGATGTGATCACGTGGCGCTGCAACATTTTGTGCATATGGTTCACGTTGTCGAGGATCTACGGTGACACCAGTACCATGTTGCACATGTGCAAATTCTTGTTCAAACATGCGTACCGATATAATATCATGATAATCTATAAAATTAAATCAATTAGGTAATGACACTTTGATAAAGTGAAACAAATGTAAAGTTTTGAATGATTAAAGAATATGGAAATTAATAAGATTCATTCCCAACATAAAAATCTAAATGAAGAGACAAAAAAAAAAAAAAAAAAAAAAACAAAGCTTAAAATGCAAATACCCGATAAATCGCCCGTAGCAGCTGTAATACCGAAATGATATCCCGTAGGTAACTGAACACCATCAACACTCATGCACTCTTTCCATTGCCCAGTGCCCAAAACATCAGTGTAAATCTACAACATAAAATGCAAAATAATCAAAAAGAAAACACTATTATACTTCATTTTAATTTTCTAAATAACTCATTTCTCACTATTTTCTTTATTATTTTTAATTTTTTTTTAACATTTTATTTCATATTTTCTTTTATTACCGCTAGTTTTTTTTTTCTTTCGTCAAATTAAAATATATTTTGTAGTAACAATTTCATAAATCAGAAATATATTTAATTCAATTATTTCATCAAATAATTCATTATAAAATATTATCAATATAATACATTAAAGTTATTTTTAGAAATAAAAATAAACGAACCGATAGTACATCACCAACATATCGAATCATTATTTGCGTCTGATGTTGTTTGTTCCGAAATTTTGCCTCACAACCTGTATGTTCACCACCCAATTGTGTATGTGTACCATCCATATCATGATCATAATGAAGAGAACCGTTATTGATCATTGCTGAGATATATGGATGACCATGCTAGAAAATTTTTCTTTAATATCGTAAATTTATAAATATAACTAACTGATAAATTGTAAATTTCAATAAATGCATATAAGCAAAAAAAAAAATTTACCTCATGTGGTCCATTATGATTACTATAGGTGTCCAGAAAAATTCCTAAACCACGGAAATAATCTTTTGATCCAAATACAGGTCCTGTTTGAGCAGGATCTTGCACATACCATATAGCTGCTCCATCACCGAATAAATCACCAGTGGAACCATGAATTGCAAAATTTACATGTAGTTCCCAATCTCGAACATTCACGGGCTATGAAGAAATGATAATCTTGTTGAAAATTTATTTCATGCTCACTTTTTAGATAAGAATTAAGCGTAAATTATTTGAAAACATTAAGAAATTTGTGGCTCACTTTTAAAAAGCTTTAGAAACTGCCAGAACTATCAACTTATTAAGTGTAACATTTAACAAGTTTAACAAGTAACGCGATCAAAAAGTGTTATATTAATGTGCAAACTTAATGAGCAGCTGAGATACTGAGCATTAGATTAAAATTCTGTGCAGAAAAAAGGCAAAATTCTGCCTTTCAAAGATTGATTGATTGATCATTCGATAATCAGCTGATTAATGTAACTCACATTCAAAAGTGGAAAATCATTCGATAATCAGCTGATTAATGTAACTCACATTCAAAAGTGGAAAATCATTCGATAATCAGCTGATTAATGTAACTCACATTCAAAAGTGGAAAATCATTCGATAATCAGCTGATTAATGTAACTCACATTCAAAAGTGGAAAATCATTCGATAATCAGCTGATTAATGTAACTCACATTCAAAAGTGGAAAATCATTCGATAATCAGCTGATTAATGTAACTCACATTCAAAAGTGGAAACAGCAGGAATACATTTTACGAAAAGATAAACAAATTGACCTACCACATTATTCCAAATACCACCTTGAACACTTTGTGTATCTGCTGTTAAACGAACATATTGTCCAGTAACAATAGTTGTACCTTGTATGTCCCAATATGGAATACCCATTCCATTACCTTTAAATAAAATAGCAAACCCATGATTACTTTTATTATACTATAAAAATCTTTTCCCTTGAATTACTATGGAAAAAAATGGAAATTTATTCAAAAAATTCATCATCATTGAATGAATAACAATTAGACCACATAATAGTTTTTTTTTTCTTAAGTCATTTCCTTTTTTTTTTGTTGAAATTATTTCATCAACAATATGTCTTCAAGTAAACACGAGATCAAGTTAATAGTCTTGAAGGATGACTTACGACATGTATTTATCACTTAACAAATTTATATATAAAACTAAAACAAACACATACATATATACATTATAAACAGTACAAAACAAATCTGACCTCGAATGTACTATTTCTTCTCTCTTACACAAGAAAAAAAAAACACATGAAAAAAAGGCATTAAATTCGACTGAATTTCCTGAACTACAAAATATTTGATTTTAATATAATAAATAAGTAAGTATAATGTAGTAACCTTGATATGGTTTAGCCAATGAATGTTCTTTCCTGAAATATCCACGCCATTCATCAACTGATGTATCACTTAATTGTAGTCGTTGTTGTTGTTGTTGACCATAACTGCTCCTTATTTGCAGTGACAAATAATAAGTAAAGAATGGAATGAATAAATGATGAGTTAACAACATATTACAACTCCTATAATACATTCATATTTTTTACTTATGATTTTTCAAATAATTACATCCAAATTTAACAAAAAAAAAAAAAAAAGAAAAGAAAAAAAGATACTTGCAGGAGATATATCAATGATGTTTCAGTAACTTACGTTACGTTCCTAAACGAATCAGTCACGTACAATGACAAAATAACAATAATACTTTAGATTTAATAACTGCTAACACAATAATCATCGCTCATCAACAATCTTTACTCATTTATATTAATTGAAATACAAACGCATACGTACATAAACACACATATATCTATAAATATAAATAAATTCACGTATTCCAATACGTTCAAATATCGATGTAAAATAAAGCTACTGCTGTACAATTTTGCTTTTCTAATTCACGTTCACGTACATCACGCCTACGTACGTGTATACACATATCCAACAAATCATAACGCATCAGCATTACTACTAAAACAGCACAAATAACAATGCAATCTAGCATCGAGAAGTAGAACAGCTTCGAAAAGCAGATTTACAAAAAAGTTTGATCAATTTATTTTCGATATTTTACGGATTATCCGAGAAGGTATGGTAATGGAGAGAATGTCGTGGATATAAGTAAATATAGGAGTCGAAATAAAGTAATAGTAACAGTTACATTGTTGATGAATGTACAAGTAAGTATAAGGAATCGAGATAAAGTAATAATAACTCTTCCATTATTGATAAATGTATAAGTAAGTGTAAGGAATCGAGATAAAGTAATAATAACTCTTCTATTATTGATAAATGTATAAGTATAAGGAATCGAGATAAAGTAATAATAACTGTTTCAGTATTGATAAATGTATAAGTAAGTATAAGAGTGGAGAAGAAGTAATAATAACTATTGCGTTATTGATGAATATATAAGTAAGTATAAGGAATTGCGATAAAGTAGTAATAACTCTTCTACTATTCATAAATGTATAAGTAAGTGTAAGGAATCGAGATAAAGTAATAATAACTGTTTCAGTATTGATAAATGTATAAGTATAAGGGAATATCAAATTAAGCAATGTACGATAGATTCGTATCAGTTAATTTAAGACTTTAAATTTATGCAACGTTCAGTTTTTTTTTTTTTTTAATTAACAAATAGTTAGTTAAGAAGAAAAGCAAAAAGTTTGAATAATATTCCTTTGTATTTTTTTTATTTTTAAATAATATTCTTTTTCAGTAACAATATAATATTTTTTTTAGTAATATTCCTTTTCAATAATATAATATTTTTTAAAACAATACCCTTTTTATAATTTTTTTTTCCTCTATAATATTTATTTATTTTTTTTCCTTCTATAATAATATTCTTTTATAACTGTCTTTTAAAATAATATTCCCCTTTACTAATAATATAATATTTTAAATAATATTCAAGGGTTTCAAATAATCCTTTCTAATAATAATATAATTTTTTTTGGGAATATTCAGTGTTTTTTACTCATCTGAAATATTTTGGGCTATTTTTATTTGTGAATGGAAGAAAGAAAAAGAAAGTAAGTAATACAAATAATAAAATATTCCTTAACAATCAAAACTTATATCATTACTAGCAATATTTTTTTTTTCTTTTCTTAAAAGTAAATGATGTTTTTAATTGTATTCAAATTATATTTATCAAGCAGTTAATTAGAAAATTACTCACATTTTGACAAATGAAAATTTTATTCTGATATAATTTCTGGAAGTGTATTGTATCATTTAATCCATTTAGCATAATTAATATATGAAAACATTGCTATTTGAGATTGCTGTAAATTTTCAAGAATTTGTTTTGTAGTGCTTTGTAATAACCTAATTTATTATGCAACAGAAGACAATACATTTAAAACAATTTAACAATAAGCCTGCTAAAGTTGAATGTTTAATTTTATGATTAGTTCTATTTAAATTGGAATAAGAAAACTTAATTAAACATATCGAGATAGTCTCAGTGAAAGAATTATTAATTAATTTGATTGATTAACATACATTCATTTCGCTTAAGAAAATGCAAGTAAAATCTTAGATATGCTAATAATATGCATGATGTATTTTTTTTTATTATTATTTTGATAATTCTAATTCAATATTATTTGCTGATTCATTCAAAAAAAAAAAAAAAATTTTAAAAGCATATGGAATTGAAATTTTTGGAATGTTTAGTTGTTTTGAACATAAGTATTGCTATCATTTTATTAATACAAAATATAAAAATCAAACATATTTATAATTAACAAATTCATGACAAATATAACACTGCAGTGATAATAATTATCAGAAATCTTCCCTGATATGAAAGCACTAATTAAATTAAGTGGATAAAGGCAAATTTATTAAATTTGTTTTTTTTTTTTTATTCTATTATTTACCCCACCATAATTGTTCTTTTATTGGTTGATTATTGATATCATTTGGTGTCCATTTTACGCCACTGATATTTCGTGACATTTTAGCAGATGTTAAACGTGTATGCAATCGTGCTGAATGTGATCCACGTGTCATACGTAAATGTGAAATATCATGTAAATTGCAATCACTTTGTCGACGTTCACTAATATTTCTTCTACTGGACTGTAAAGCTGTAGCATATTTATCGTCGTTAAGATGTAATGCTGAAAGCCATTTGCGCGGCTGATTACTATGTGAAAAAACAGGTTGAAGTGGCGCAATACGATCCAAATTACCTCAAACAATATTATTAGTATTTGTGAAAGAATAATAAATGCTTAAATTTTTTAATCATAATCAAATATTTGTCATTTGTCACATATACATATATGAAAGATGACGAATAAAAGTTGAAAATATACAAATTGCTTATTAGTTAAAATAATTTTCAAATAATTTAAATGATTAATAATAAAATTAGATTTTAATTTTTTTATCAATTATATATATATATATATATATACATATATATGCATCATTTGATGAGATAAAATGTTCATTGTAGATCAAATATGATATATTTATTTTCAAAATTTTCTAATTATCTATTTATTATAAGTACTAACCATCTTTTAATGGTGAAAAATTCCACGGTGGACGTTGTTTATCAGTAATAGCAATTGAATGTTGACTTATATTACTACCAATTTTATGTTTCAGTTTAGCATTAATTCGATTCTGCTCTAATTTACTCCAATCTATAAATAAATTGAATTATTAATTATTTTTTCATTAATTTATGATTAATGAGAATGCTTACTGTTAGCATTTCGTATTGTTGTACCATTATTATTTGGTATTGTTTTTGCACAATCATTGATATTAGTTGTTGGCTCTTCGGTTAATGATGCCATTAAATCTGCGAAAAAATAATTCCATACCCCGTAAGCATTATCACGATGTCTTTGTAATGTACGTGGTAGTTGTCTATAATCTACAAAAGTAATATTACCTATTCCTATAAATAAATTGGCCTATAAGTAATCGAAAATCAATATTGTCTATAAGTAATTGCAACCAAACCAATATTATCTATAAGTAATTACAAAGCGATATTGTCTGTAAGTAATTGCAAATCAATATTGTCTATAAGTAATTACAAAGCGATATTGTCTGTAAGTAATTGCAAATCAATATTGTCTATAAGTAATTGCAAGCGATATTGTCTATAAGTAATTGCAAACCATCTATTCCTATAAGTAAATTGCAAATCAATATTGTTTATTCCTATAAGTAATAAGTAATTTCTAATTGATTAAAAAATCTAGAGATATCTAATTGAAAGTGATAAAAAAGCCTAAAATGATAAAAAACTAAATTTATTAGCTACAACGAAATATATATTACAATATAAACATTATTAAATTTTCATTATAGAAATTATCATTTATTATAATCATTTAATATCAAAACCTTTGCTTCTGCGTGTAGTTGTTGGACAACTGATACTACTTGGCGCTGATATCAATTGATTTCCGCCATTCATCATTTCAGTGCTTTTTTCTGATATACTTGAAAGCTTTCGTCGTGATTCATTTCTTGCAGTTGCTAAAAATTGTCGAATAGAACCACCATCACCTATAATAGTAGTAATAATAATAATAATATTAGCAATTGATTCTATTAATTTCATTTCATTCTTACATTAATTATAATAATAATAATAATAATAATAATAATAATAATGATAGTAACAATAATAGTAGTAATAATAACAATAATAACAAAAACAATAACAATAATAATAATAGTAATTGGTTTGTTTACTTAACTTTATTAAATTGATAAGTAAATAAATAGGATACAGAATGAATTTTTTCTCAATTATATTATCTACCTTTTCTATTCATTTCATCATCACTTTGAATATGCAAATGTCCACATGATGCACTTAATTTCTCTTTTTGCTTCTCAGTGAGTCGTTTAATTGGTGGTTTTGTTGATGTTACCTATAATAATAATTTATTTTTTTTTTCCAAAAATTTCATGAGACAAAAATAAAAATAAAACGAACACCATTTCTGTGTCTAATTTTTATTTTAATAAATTTTTCTTCAAAATAATAAAAAAAAACTTTAATAGTAAAAAACTTTTTTCCATTAAAAAAAAATACAATAACAAAAAAAAAAAAGTGAAAAAAATTTATCATTTATCATCTTCATAACCTCTTTTAATGCATTTCTTAATTCATCATTTGTTGATAGCATCTTTTCATTTAAATTATCATCGCCATCATCATCATCATCATTATCATTATCATTCTTTATCACTGTTATCATATCACAGCTATCATTCTCAGATTGTGTTTTACTAGAAATGGATTGCTCTGTACTGCTGGTACATTGTTTCAATTGTTTATCTGAACTGGTAACAATAGTAGTTGTTGATAATTTAGTATCCATTTCATCTAAAAAAAAAAAGCGAAAAAAAGCAAAACAAAGCAAAGAAAAAGAAAAGAATTAAATTAAAATTTGAAATAAGCATAATTTATGCAAATTTTAAAATATATATTTTGTATTTATTCCAATATACCTTTTATTTTATTTTCATTTTGTTCAATCACTGATAATTTCTGATTTTTATCAATCATATATTGTTGCGTCATTTCATTGATAGTTGTAGTAGCATTATCAATTGAATCTTTTTTAGCATCATTTAATATTGATTGCTGGTCAATTTTAGTAAATTCTAATCGATCTGATATGATAGTGGTAGTAGTAGGAGTAGGAGTAGGATTCACTGATTGTACTGATGATGTATTCTTTAGTGATAACAGTGATAATTCTTGTGGCAACAATGATATGGTACTTTTGGTTGTTAATGTTTTTGTTTCAGTTATAATTTTTTGCTCCAATAATTGATTTTGCATTGGTACTTTTTCAGTTGCAGTAAATAATTGCTCTTCCATATTATTAGTCGAGTAATAGCAGCTAATTGAATCATTTGTTGTTGTTGTTGCAGTTGTTATTGTTGTTGTTGTTGCAGTATTAATACTACAACATGTGATAACTGTCGTAGATGCCGAATTTGATAGATGAGAAAGTGGTGAAATTGATGGAATAGTATCAGCAATTGTAGAATTTGATATTTTAATAGTATTTAACGGATATTCCGGATCATTTGATATTGTGATAGTATCCGGATGAATTTTCTTGTTTCGTTTTCGGCATAAGAATACATCGATAAGATGATCCAATGATGATGTTGAAGATTTGATAGCTCCAAAGAAATTTTTTTTTTTTTTGTAAAAATTTGTTTTCTATTTAAATAAAAAAAGTTTTTTTTTTTTTTTTTTTTTGTTCCATTTTTCTATTTTTAGTAGAAAAAATGAAATTTAAAATAAATTATTGAAGTAGAAAAAAGTTTCAAATACTTCTCTAATTTGTTTGTTTTTTTTCTTTTTCTTTTTTTTTGTCACATTACAAACAATAACATTTAGATTGAAATGACAAAAATTTTATTTAAAATAATTAAATTTAAACGAAAGCAATAAATCAATATATGTGCATTTTTACTAGAGAGAGAGAGAGAGAGAGAGAGAGAGAGAGAAAGAGAGAGAGAAAGAGAGAAGGTATAAATCTTAAGCAATTAATAATACTTAAAAAAAAAAATTTAACTAAATATAAATATAACATAAGTTACAATCTGCAAAAAAAAAAATAAGAGGAAATTTTAATAATAGTAGAAATTATACATAAATTTAAACCTATTAAAAAAAAAAAAAAAATTAATTTCTCTGTTCAATTTAAACTTATTTGTTTTTGTTTTTGTTTTTGTTTTTTTGCACCAATTAAACGAACTAACAACTAGGTCTGGATGATTGTTTCCATGTGCCCTGCTTAAATAATTCCCACATTGTACGTAGTGATGTTTCCGATACTGACTGACTGATATTCTGCAAAATTTTATTAATTTCATTGTAAAAAAAAAATTTTAAAAAATTAAAATAATTTTTTTTTTCTTAAAAATTTTATCTTTTGCAATAATTTAATCTTACCTAAAATAACAATGAGTGTAGTAATAATTAATTTTTTTTTTTTTTTTTTACAAAACTTTAACAAATTAACATTTTTAGACAAAAATTAATAAAACAAAAAGAAGGGAAAATATGTTCACATCAATTTACTATTCTATTTTACCATCACTTTTGAATTTGTAGCTTCCATAGTTTCAACATTTTTCAACATTTTTTCATCATCATCATCATTTTGTGTTAATTCGGTAAATTTTTGTGATTGATTAATTGTTTCATTCTTTGATGTTTCCAATGATTCATTGATTAATTCATTTTGATCATCTGATAACGTTTTCCTCATTAATTTATTTTTTGATAAAATTGATGAATTAATCTTAGCATGTTGATTCATTGATAATTTTTGCTCATTTTGTTCAATTTTCACTCTTTCAGCTGCAAACAAACAAAATAAGTAAATAATGTATTAGGTTAAAAAAAAAAAGAAATTTTTTTCTCTACATGAAAATAAAATTAGCAATGAAAATGTAAATAAATAAGTAAATAAACAAATAAATAATGTATTAGGTTAAAAAAAAGGGAAATTTTTTTCTCTGTATGAAATTAAAATTAGTAAATAAATAAATAAATGATGTATTAGGTAAAAAAGAAAAGAAAAATTTTTCCCTATATGAAATTAAAATTAGCAAAAAAAGCGTGGGAGTAGAAAAAAAGTTTTTTTTTTTTTTTTTTTTTTTTTTTAAACCTACGAATTTAAAAATATAAATGAAAAAGAAAAGAGGAATAATTATTTAAAAATTAATTAATTAAAAATGAAAAAGGAACTAAATAATTATTTGTTAAAATAATTATTTTAGATTTTTTCCTTAAAAAAAAAAAAAAAAAAAAAAAAAAAAAAATTACTACAAAATACAAAGCAATAAAAAAAATATCCATTTGTTGCTTTTTTATTTTTTAAATTATTTTTTTTTTTTCAATTACTCATAATTTATGCAAATAATTTTTAATTGTTTTTTGTAAATAAATAAATGAATGAATGATTAACTGTAAAATTTTAAAAAATATTATGTATTCTATCTCATTTAATCAACTCATTTTTTTATCAGTTTTTTATCAACAACTAATCAGCTTAATTTTTTTCTAATCAATTTTAGCTATCAAAGAAAAAAAGAAAAACCAAGAAGAGAGGAAATTTAAATTAATATTTATATTTGTGTTAAACTATAATAATATATCAATAATTAACTAACATTTTAATTGATCAGAAGTTTGCTCCAATTTTTCCGATTGCATTTTTGTTTGTTGTTTTTCATCATTTTTTTCCATTAAATTCAATGATTTTACACTTTCTTGTTTGATTAAAATTTTTTCTGCATTTTTTGTTGCATTTTGTTTATCATTTTGCATAAAATTAGTAATACATTTATTATCAATTATTGTTGTTGCTGTTGTTGTTGTTGTTGTTGTTGTTGTTGTTTTTGTTGTTGTTGTTGCTAATTTTTCATCACAATCTTCTGCTACACTAATTGTATCAATAGAATTTGGATTATTATTCATATTGATTGATTCGATTATTGCTAATTTATTATTATTAGCATTGCTATTTTTGATTGAACTAACTTCCGATGTAACCAAATGACCCTATAAATAAAATGAAAAATTATAGAAAAAAAAAAATAAAAATTAATTTAAATAAAAAAAAAAAAAAAACGAAAGAAAAAAAATGTAAAATAAATTTTATACCTGTTCCTCTATAACATTTCGTCTTCGTCGTTTTTTGCATAATTTATATAATTTAGAACCTAACCAATACAATAATAATAATAATAAAATGAAACTAATACCAAATAAAAGAAGCCACCATAATAAACAATAACCATAAAATAAAATACATCTAGAAATTAATTGAAAAAATTAAAAATAAAATAAATAAAATCAAAATTAATTTGATAAATGCTTAAATTAATTGATTAAATTATTAAATAAAAAAGTAATTTTTTAGAAATTTGAAAATAAAATATGATTTAAAATTTTTTACCCATCAGCAAGTAAAATTAATTGTTCACATCGTCTTCCTTCTGCTTTACCAAAATTTTTTGATGTATCATTCCAACCATCATGACAGCGACATTCATATCGAGGACCATTTATTAAGCAATCAGCATGTTCTGGATCACAATCATTAAGCGCTGATGTCAAACAAGCGCCAACAGAAAGTTCTAAAATTTTTATAATATCATATATTATTATTATTATTGTAAGCATGATCTCGAATATATTATTAATTCGTTTTTTACAATCAAAAATTATAATATCAAATATTTTAGCAATTGTCATTTGAAAAAAAAAAATTTTTTTTTTTTTTTTTTATTTTAATATCAAATATTCGAAGAAACTGTTAATTTGTTGAATTTGTAAATAAATAAATTATTTAGGAAAAGAACTATCATTGATAATTGTACAATTTATATGATAAAATTACAAATGAAACTTAGAAGTGATTAAGAAAAAATTTGATTTGTAATATGAGAAAAGTGATTAAAATTTAAACATTATAGTCTTTTTTTTTTTTTTTTTTTAAAAAAAAAGGAAATTTAAATACTTTAAAAAGCTAATGAATGATAATAATATATTATTAAATTTTAATCATATTTTTAATCATAGCTAATGAATATGTTATTAAATTTTAATTAAATAACTAATTTAATTAGTTATTTAGTCATTTCATATTTTTAATTAATTAGCAACAATTAATTAATACCCATTATACGTAAAGGTACATATTGATCATTGGAATTTTGTTTAAAAGCATCATCAAATTCTTTAACAGTACACTGTGAGCAATCAAGTTGCACCATAACCGGATGACCATCACGCCGGACACAGGCCTGATATGGTAATCCGGTACGATTCAACTGAAATACATTTCAATAAATGTTCACTTTCTCTCTCTCTCTCTCTCTCTATTGTTTATGCTTATATTTGAAAAAAAAAAAAAAAAAAGAACATCTCGAATTATAAATTACTAAATAATCAGTGATAATGGCCATCATGCCGGACATAAGTCTGATAAGATAATCAGGTATGATTCAATTGAAATGCATTTTGATAAATATTCATTCTCTCACTCTCTCACTTCCTTTTTTTTCTGTTTCAAATTTAAAAAATTTTAAAAGTCAGACTAATTAATTAGCTACAATAAATTTGACTAATTAATTAGCTAATTAAAAAAAAAAAAAAAAACCAACCACTAAAATAGCAAGCCGTGATCGCTCTTCCGGAATAGTTTCCATACCACCGCACATATTACTTACATCTATACCAAATGTTGATATAATAGTTGCTAAGAAATTAACATAATTATTGATTAGAAGTTTTTGTTATCAATTACTGATAACAAAATAAAATTATCAACATTTTCTGATAACTTTTACTTTTCATATGTTACATTACTTTATTTTGCATCACAGTTAAATGTTTTCTTTCTACACTATCAAAAATAATAAACGTTTAAATTTTTTTAAATTACTAAAATTAAAATTAAAAAATTGAAAGAGAATGATTTGATTATTAAATAATATATACCTTTACATGTTGAATGATTACCACCGGGCATTTCTCCTGGTGGACAGGTGCATAATGGTTCTGGTACCAAACGGTGTGCTTCAGCATATTCGTAATGAGCACAAGCAATTTGATCCGGTGATAAGTGATAAGTTGTGGTACTGGTGATAAGATTAGCCAAATCATCTAATAATTTATAAAATTGCTTGTTTAATTATGACATAAAAATTATTGATAATATTACATAATGAATTGCCTTCTTGAAGGAGAGAGAGAGAGAGAGAGAGAGAGAGAGATTACCATTTTGCGAGGTACTGATAATCTGTTCCTCTCGTTGTTGTTTTGATAAATTTGATGATTGCATTTGTTCTAATTCCTTTGATATTATTGCTCTGTTTTCAACACTATTTGATATCGTTTTTATAGAAGAATTGAACATATTATTTTGATTCGTTATCTTGTTTGATGACAATGATGATGATGATAACGATGGTGCTAATGGCGATGATAACGATGGCAATAACGATGGTGATAATGATGGCGATGATGATGGTGATAATGATGACGATGAAATATTATTTGATACAATGATATTATCCTGTTTTAAGATACCATTATATCCTAATTTATTATCTCCATTATCGTTACTGATTCGAATAGTACTGGAAGATTTAACTGATAATAATATTCCATTAATATTATCAGCTATCAACTAACTTTTTTTTTTTATCATTTTTTAAACTTATTGGATTTGCTAATGCTCTGCTTATTGAGTTTTTTAATTTTTCTAAAATTTGTTTCATTAAATTTTTCATCAAAAGAATGATGATAAAATTATTATTATTATTATTATAGCATTTTAACAATAACGATTAGTAGTAAAAAAAAGTAGATTAAAAATCATTTATATTTGATTCTTGTAGTGATTAAATAAAATTTTAGAAATTAGAAATAGAATTTGAAAAATTATACCTTGTTTGATTTTTATCAATTCCAGTGATAAAATTTTGCAAATTTTTTTGCATCAAATGATTTATTTGTGTAAAATTAAAATTATTATTGTTACTTTCTGATTTATTGATAAATCCAACTACTGTAGGATCAAAATTTGATAATTTAAAATGTTGATCATTTAAACTTTTATTACTATTATCATTATTATCATTGTTATTATTTGGTATTTGAAATATAAATTGCGTAGTTGTTGATTGAGTGATTGCATTATCATTCTTCCAATCATTTGTGATCATCGATATAGATCCTTGATCTGTATGATCAATCAAACCATGATATGATGGTGATGGAGAAACAAATTGAAGCCAAGATGGTATAAATTGTTGAGTGCTAATCATCATATCATTCAAATTATTCGATGTATTACTTATAAATTGTAAATTTTGATATCGATTAGTACCACGTTTAATACCAAATACAGCAATGTAATCAAGATCTAAAAAAAAAAAAATTGAAATAATTTGAAAAAATTAAATAAACATTTAAAAAATTAAATAAACATAATAATTCAAGAGTAATAAATAAAAAAAAAATTGTTTTGAAATGAGTTCTATTTTCACGTGAATCACGTACACGTACATACTTTTATTCATTTATTAAATTTGATATTAATTAGAGAATAAAACATTTTCATGATAAAGAAGAACCTTGATCAGATTTATCAATACAATTAGTTTGACCATTTTCGATCCATTTTTTCATCACACATTCACCATAACCTTTGCAAGGCACTGTTCCCTCAATTGAACATAATTTTTTCTCTAAAAAAAAAAAAAAAAAAAGAAAATTGAAAAAAATTTTTTTGAAAATTTGCTTATCAATTGAAATTATCATAAACGTATATATCATTTTATATAAATTATTATTTAATTTACATATCATATTTTAAACTTTAAATATAATAGTGTTAGCATTGATATATGTTATTATAACGAAAATTACTTATAACAGAAAGATTTTGTAAATTCATTTAAAATAATATTTAATTTTATTATATCATTCGATTTGATACTTCAAAAAAAAAAAACTGATAAAATTTTTTGAACAATTAAATTTTTGAAATAACTTCAATCCTTTTTTTTTTTTTTTTTTCTAAATTAAAATTAAAAAAACTTACTGATAACATCACAAAATTGCGGTGATGTTGGCGTATTATCACATCCTAAAAAAATAAATATAAAATTATTGATTTAAATTTTATGCAAATTTTATAATTAATAAAAAAAAAAAATTTTTAATGAGTAAAACATTACTGGGATTAATAAAGCACTGTGCTGCATATTTTAATGATACGCAATATGTTCCACATTTGACGTAACCAGGAAAACAAACTAAAAAAAACAAAAAAAGAAAAAATTATGAAAGAAATTTTTTAAATTAATTTAAATTAAATTTGAATTAAATTATACATAATTGTTGATATAAGTTCAATTAATTTAATATGAATTATTTCAAATATTAGTAACATTTTTTGTTTTTTTTTTTGTTCGATTATTTTTTATAATTCATAACTTTTTTCCTTTTTAAAGAAAGCACAAATTTTGCTGTACGTAAAATTTCGTATAATCAATAATTTATTATTAGATTAGATTTATTATTGATAATGTTTATTTTTTTTTTTTTCTTGAAATAACTACTGATTATTGATGAAAATTGTTAATTCAACTTATTTAAAAAGATTATAATATTAATCGATTTTTTGATATTAATATTAAAGTTTAAAATATTAATTGATTTATTTAATAAGGTTTGGTTAAGGGAGGTTAATCGGTTTTGATTTAATTATTAATTGATTTTGATTTATTTAATTTATTTAATAATTCATAACATTGATTTTTAACTTATTTAAAATTGATTTTGATTTACACAATAAGATTTTTGATTTATTTAATTTGTTGAATAATTGATAATTTAACTTATTTAAAAAGATTACAATAATAATTAGTAAGTATTATAATATTAATTGACAATTTAGCTTATTTAAAAAGCTCAAAATATTAATTGACAAAATTTAATAATTTTGGCTTGTTTAAAAAGATTGCAATATTAAGTTGATCATTTAGCTTATTTGAAATGTTTACAAATTAATTGATAAAATTGATAATTTTAGTTTGTTTAAAACGATTGCAATACTAAACTGATAATTTAGCATATTTGAAATGTTTATAACTTAACTGATAAAATTGATAATTCTAGCTTATTTAAAAAGATTGCCATTATTAATTGTTAATAATTACAGTATTAATTTATAAATTTTATAATTTAATCAATTTAAATTTAAAAAGATTAAAATATTAAACTAATTAATTAACTTACACTCATCACTTCCATCAGGACAATCAACAATGCCATCATGAAAATGTTGAAGTGGAATACAACGACGTTGTTGTTGTGGTAGTAATTTGCTACCACCACAATCAAATTGTTGTCGTTGTAAAATTTTTGAGTTACTATTGGTACCAGAAACAACCGTACAACGACCTGGGACACGCATCGAAAATTCTATAATAAATTGAAATTAATGCGAAATATTTTTAATAAATTTATTTAAATATAAATGTAACAATTTAATTTATTACTAAATTATATAAATTTGATTTTTTTTTAGCAGATAATAGGAAGAAAATTGTATAATAAATTGAAATTAATGCAAAACATTCTTAAAAATTACTTTTATAAGTAATTATTAAAATTTTTATAAATAGTAAATTTATTTAAATATAACTATAAAGGGTAAAAGAAATGGGGAAGGAAAAAAAAAAAGAGAAATAATTAAAGGTATTTTATTTTCAGAAAATTTGAATTTTTGATTTGCAATTAAAAAGATTTATTTTATGCTTTTTCTTTTGATTTAGGTATGCTTTTAAGAATTTTTAAGTGGAAGAAAGAAGGCAAAAAAAAGCAAATAAAAATTATTTTACTTTTAAAAGTTTAATTTTTTGCTACTTCAAAATTTAATTTTATTGAAGTTATTTCAAAGTATAATTCTACTAAACTTACTTCAAAATATACTTATCTCCTAATTCATTTGAAAAGTTTGAATATAATTTCAAATTTTAATCTTATTCATATTTAATTATGTATTTAAAATTTTTTAAGAACAAAAAAAAAAAAAAAAAAAAAAATGTTAAAAATATGTTAAAATTATAATTGTACTAAAGTTTATTACAAAGTATAATTCTATTAGACTTACTTCAAACTATAATTATCTTTTAATTTATTTGCATTTGTTTGGATATAATTTTTTAATTTTAAATATTTTTAAAGAATTAAAAAATAAAAAAAAAAAAAAAAAAATATTAAATTACCAGCAACTGTAATTAATTGTGCCGCTACGTCAAAGTTACGTTGCATAAGTAATAATTGTAATAAAAATACTATCAATAGTAATTGTTGTCGTTGTAGTTGTCGTTGCAAATGGTAAACAAATAAGATCATTAGCCGTTGTTGTCACCTCGTAACAACACGACGATAAGCATTTAGATGTAATATTACGATGAAAAATGCACCTTAAAAGAATAAACGATTATAGTAATATTAAATAAATATATGACTTTTCTTTCTTGACAAAAAAAAAAATGAATTAATTTTAAAAAGTTAAAAAAATAAGTAACAAAATATATTTAAATTTTCAGGCAGAAAAAAAAATGATTAACAATAAGTTTTGTTTGATAAATCGAGAAAAACAGAACTTCTTTATTACAATGATTTTATAGATAATAAATATTTTAAACAATTATGCAATTAGTTATGCGATTAAATTCTTAATAATAACAAAAAAAAAAGTTTCATTTCGCATCCTATAATTTAAAATGCTCAAATTAAATTATTTATAATCACAAATTATTAATTAATAATAATTTAAAAAAAAAATTATTTATAATTAAGAATTAATACTTTATGCAATTAATTAAGCGATTAAATTCATAATAACAGCAAAAAAACTTTCACATAGCAAAATTATATATTCTAAAATTTAAAATGCTCAAATTAAAATCAAATTAAAATAACGAATCAATTAGCGCTTTACTATTTTCTAATAATTAATAATTCAATAAAATCAGACTGATAAAAAAACAAATAAATAAACAAATCTCATTAATTTTTTAAATAAATAAATGAATTAAAAAGAAAACAAATAAAATAATTATAAATTAAAATGATAGACAATAAAAATTAACTCTCTTATAAATAAATAATAAAATTGTATTATTTGCTTAAAGTAAATCAAACATCGTTTTTACAAAAAGTTTTATGCTAATGATCAGTCATCCATAAATAATATACATATATATATCCAAGCACAGAATATTACTGGGCCAATTCTATAATTTATTTCAACTACCCTTCCCCTTGCCCTACCCCTTCCCCTACCCTTTCCCTTCCCCTACCCCTTACCCCTTCCTCTTCCTCTCACTTTCATTATTTTCATCATCTTTTATTTCACTCTTTGTCACTCTGTCACATAAAAATTTTTTTTTTCAGCTTTTATCATTTATTTGCTTGAATAAAAATAAAAAGCTTTTAAAATATGTGATAAAAAACTCTCTCTCTCTCTCTCTTTCTCTTTCCCTCATATAACTTTACTTCCTGTCTTTCAACTTTTTTCCTTTCTCTCTCTCTCTCTCTCTCTTATATTTTAGCTCAGTAAAAAAGCACTTTTTAAAAAAAAAGGACAAGCTTTTAAAATATAGCTAAAGAGCCAAGAGTATGTACATATATATGTACATACAAAAGAGCCAGAGCCAAAAATATAAATGTACATACAAAAGAGCCAAGGGTATTTATGTATGTATAAAAGAGCCAAAAATGCATATATATATATATATATATATAAAAGAGCCAGAACCATTTACGTATATATAAAAGGGCCAAGAGTATGTATGCAAAAATATATATGTACATACAAAAGAGCCAGGACCATTTATGCATATATGAAAGAGCCAAAAGTATATTATAAGACGGCCAAGAGTATTTATGCATATAAAAGAGCAAAAAGTACATATCTATATACAAAAGAGCCAAGAGTACATATTTATATGTAAAAGAGCCAAGAGTATATATATAATGTTATTTTGCTTATATGCCTTTTCTTAAAGTAAAGCTTTACTACACAGGAAATAATATTGGAATTGCTATCATTATTTATGGTATATTTAGCAAATATATTAAAGCTATTTATATTTTCTTTTCTTTTCTTTTTTTTTTTTTTAGCCAAAAATTGAATCACTGTTTAGTAAATAATTGTTAGCAAATTTTATTATATAATAATAATATTATTATTTTCATTTTGTCTCATTCATGTCAATTATTAATTATAAATTAAATATCAATTATAATTATAAATTGAACTCGAATTAGTACTATTATTTATCAATTATAAATTAAAATATATTTGAAGTGAAAATTAGAATTTGAAATAATAAAGTATAACTATTGCTTTAGTTTAAAAAACAAAAAGAAAAAACAATAACTTTTCGCTATTATTTATTAATGTTTCTCATTTAAATATTATAATTATTAACTAATTAATATAAATAATTTATGCATCATAATAAAATGTAATATTGTAGTTTAATTTATTTTGCTATACAATTAAAAATTATGCATAATTTTCAGATTAGATTCAATGTTTAAGTTAGATTTATCTTAATTAAAAAAAAAAAAAAAAAAAGGAAAGTGGTGGCAACATTCACAATACAATGTTAATATTAATTACAATTTTTAGTGCATAACTAGATGTTGACAATTGTGACAAGATTTGTGTCGCATGTCACCAAAGTTATCAAATATTTCATTTAGATTCTCATGCATTAGCACATAATTTATCTTTGATGATAGTGTTATCACAATACTTCGTTTGCTACAAATATTGATTACAGTCTAACAACTGATAACACTTACTGATATCAACATTGATATATCACATTTATCCATTACTAAAATTTATGTTATCACTAGTAAATTTTCATTTATAAATAAAATAAAATGCAATTGTTATTCATTGATATTAATATTTATATTTGAAAACTTTTCAAAATTTTAGCCATTTTAATTAAATTGAAATTTCATATTTCAATGATAAATTTTATAAAATAAAAAATATATTAGCTTTTTTTTTTTGTTTTTGTTGTTATTATTATTATTTATTTTTAATGGCTTTTCAAGTACTAATATTTATAGTAATATTTCTCATAAAGATACTGTTAAATCTTTATTTTTTTATAAAATGAAATTTTAAATTTTTATTTGTTTAAATTGTCAATGATAATGCCAGAATGTAAATAGATCATGTGCAATGTAAATAAATTTGTCAATTAAATTCAAAAAATACATCTTTTTTTTTTTTTTGATGAGTTACAATTTTAAAAAAACTTATCAAATAAAAATTATAGCGAATATTTTTGCATACTTTGATTTATTTACATTTTTTGTTTTATCAAAAAATTTGACACTAAATATTTTCATAAATTTTAAATTATTCATTCAAATAATTTCTTTCATTTTGTTCTTAACACTTATCAATAATAACAAATTAGGCTGCAATTGAAACAATCGAAATAAGTTCAATTTTTATATCAATTTTTCGGGTTTATTTGTTAATGAATCTTTCAGGAGAAAATTATTTAATTTGATCAATAGTGCAATTCATTTCTGTTTGTATTGCATGCATGCTATCTGCATGCTGCAAACAAAAAAGGGAAAAAGTATGGTTGATCATAAGGTGTTAATTTTCTTTCTTTTTTTAAGTGCATTATTAGAGTATTTCGCATAAAGTTATATCATAACTTTTTCTGTAACTTTCATTGACATATAGTAAAGTCATAAGCAAAGTAAAAAAAAAAAAATTTTTTTTTTTGACGTATATGACGTACAACAAAGTTTCCTCACTACATGAGGACTATAAGAAAAGTAAGATTTTTTTGACGTATATGACGTACAACAAAGTTTCCTCACTACATGAGGACTATAAGAAAAGTAAGATTTTTTTGACGTATATGACGTACAACAAAGTTTCCTCACTACATGAGGACTATAAGAAAAGTAAGATTTTTTTGACGTATATGACGTACAACAAAGTTTCCTCACTACATGAGAACTATAAGCAAAGTAAGATTTTTTTGACGTATATGACGTACAACAAAGTTTCCTCACTACATGAGGACTATAAGAAAAGTAAGATTTTTTTGACGTATATGGCGTACAACAACGTACAACAAAGTTTGTCTATATGATATACGAACAAAGTCATAAGCAAAAAGTAAGACTTTCCTTTTGACGTATATGACGTACAATAACGTTTTAAGCAAAGTAAAAATTTTTTTTCTTGTAATAAGATAATTTCCTTCTTCTATAATATAATGTTGCTTTAAGTAATCACTGAATTAAATAATAAACATTAAAAATTTCATACTGTTAAATCAAAAACACCAAAAATAATAATAACGAAGCTAAAGTGTTAAGCTAAAAAAAAAAAAAAACTCACAAATGATAATATTCGCATTATCATAAACAGATTTTAATTCTTTCAGTACGAATTAAATGTTACTTTTGTTGTTAGTAATTAATAAGAAATATAATGAAATGTAGTAATATTTTTTTGTTTGTTTATTCAAGTATTAAAGAGTCCCCAAATTAATAATATTTCAGATATATATATATATAAGCCATTCATGCCTAAATTTAAATCTTTCATTTGAAACGATTTTATTTTATCAAAACTATAATAGATAATACTTCACCCTCCCCCCCCTCTCCGAAAAAAAAAAAAAGGAAATGTTTTTTTTTTTTCTAATCCAAAAATGTTTCGTTTTTCTCTTTTTTTTTTCCCCCAGAAAAAATAACAATTAATCAATCAATCGAAAATCGAAAAATGGAATAATGTTTCTCTTTTTGTTTTCTTTTTGCTATTTGTTATTTGTTACAAAATAGATAATGCTGTAATTTTCAAATCAATAACAAAGTTTATGCTATAAAATTAATGAAACTTGTAAATTAAATATAAATTTGAACAAAATTTCAATATATGATACAATTTATCATTTAAAAATTCATCTCTCAATAGTAATTACTTTAAAAAATTTTCATTAGATAAGAATACAAATAACTATCCTTAAGTAATTACTTAAAATAACTTATAATAATTTAACAAATAATTTGGCAGAGGGAGAAAAAAAAAAAAAAAAGAAATGGATATGTCATTTTTTTGCATTAATTGTCAAAATCTTAGCAACAATTTTTTTTCATTAAAATAATATTTCTTAAAATGTTTCTTTCTTTTTAATGTTTGAGGAAAAAAAAAAGAAATATTAGATTAAAATAAGAGAGTGAAAAATTTTGACAATAAAATTAATTGCATATTTTTAATATCGCAAATAATTTAAAACATACATTCAATAATATTTTTCCACATCTATATAAATTCATTTTTTTTTTTTTTTTAAAAAAAGAAAAAAAAAGGTACACTATTAGATGTTATCCTGGTAAATTAGCAAGTTTCTCGATTAACTTTTCATAAATTGTCACACCATTTAAAAAGCATTCCTCAGTGATATATTCATTATAAGCATGAAGTAATAAAGGTATTTTATTGATTGGACTAAAACCAATTGATCGTATTCCTTTCTGAAAAGACAATAAAATTATAATTTTATAAAAAAAATTTTTTTAGATAAAATTATGTATGACCAAAATTTGAATAAATTAAATTAAACAAGCAAAAGAGCAAAAAGAAATTGTTAAACCTGTCTCAGAAAACGTGAATCGGTTGATCCCGGGAAAATATCCAATAATATCGGATAATTCCTTAATGAAGAAAAAAAAAAAAATGTTATAATCAGTATGAAAAAAAAAAGAAGAAGCAAAATTTACAAGTATTTTTTAGTAAAAATTATCTCAATGAATAGCAATTTTACATTAATTAAATGATCATATCATTACATCTTTCAACTTGAAATCAGATTAAGCCTAGTGAATGCGTTCTAGGCATAGTATTTACTTGTTAGATTAAGCCTAGTCAATGTGTCCTAGGCTTAATAATTACTTCAGTGAGATTTTTTTTTGCACAGCTTTTCCTGGATTAAATTTATTACAGAATTATAAAAAAAAAAAAAAAAACATACAATTGTTTAAAAACTGATGAAAATGCATGCCACCATGGATCATCATCTGTTACTGGTGTCATCGCTTTAATTCTTGTATTCTAAAATTGTAGTATAATTGAAAATACTTCAAAATTTAAACTAAATTAAAAAACATTAAAGTAAAAAAAAAAGACATTTAAAAATACTCTAATAATATGGAAAGAAAAAAATAACAAAATATTTGCAAAAAATGTTAGCATGAAATAAATAAAAAAAAATAAAAATACATAAGTGTATACCTTTATAAAGCTATATGTCACATCACTACCTGCATCTGTACACCATTTGCTAATTTGATTTTCCAATTCCTATAAATTAAAATTAATAATAACCATTGAATGGTTTGATTGAAATTATTCGAATCGATAATAAAATTGTTAATAATAGGCTAAATCTTTTGTGCTTCAATTAAATTATTTTAATTCATGTAAAATTGCTAAAATTATTGCTATTTTATCAAATTTAACCTCAAAATTGTGCATTGGTGGTATCCGAAGATCGAACCCTTAAAAAAATAAGATGAATGATAACTTTAACAATTTAAATAAACAGGAAAAAAAAACAGCTATCGCCAATGAAATTTAAAAAAAAAAAAAAAAAATTATGAAACAGCTAATTATTCATTGTTTAATTAAAGTAAAATTACATTTGATGTGTAAATCAGATAACCTGACCTCTAATTAACATACTCTGTTAATTAATTAATTAACATCAAGTGCTTATATAAAAAAAAAAATTAGAAATGAAACTTACATACTTTAATCTCCGTTGGTAGTACATTCAATTGAACTCCACCCTAAAAAAGAGAAAAAAAAATTTTGAACAAATTTTTCCATTAAATAGTTTTTCCTTCCAAACCATTTTACTCATTTCATTGCTAATTTTTTTTTCCTTTTTTTTTTGTAAAAATGATTAATAAATGATTTTTTACGAATTGAAATCAATGAGCTAATTTATCCTATACAGAATTATTTCGCATTAAAGAAAAAAAAAATAGAAATAGAAATAATCAAAAAAATGTCATAAAATAATTAATCATAGTAGTTAAATGACAAAAAGAAAAACTAAATTAAAATAACCTCAATTTTTGTTAAATTTACAGAGATAACATTGGACAGCGTTAAATCTTTGTTTAATTCAAGTAGTTTTTTTTGTTCCTCTCTGAATTTCATAAAACTGTTGATTATTTTTTGCTAAAAAAAAAAAAAAAATATTTAATATATAGATATGGTATTACAAATATTATTTTAAAGAAATTAAAAGCATAATTAAAACAAATTTTTTTTTTTCCTCCTAAAATTACAATCAAGTAAACTCTTACAATAACAAAACAATGAGTTAAATTTTTAATTCTTTACTGGAAAAAAAAAAATAAATCTAATATACATCTGTTTCAAATTTACTTACATACTTTCAACTCATCATTTTTATGTTTGAATTTAAATGCATCCATTAATGCTTATTAAAATTATTTCAATATAAATATGCTTTAGAATCATTAAAACAATACATTTATGGGCACAATAACATTTATAAATTTTAATAGAAAATTAAAATGCAAATTAAATATTTTTACCAATTTTTCACTGGCAGTATTTTCGATTAATTGCAATCCATGTCCTGCTACACCTTTACAACTTATAACAATCCCTGACAAAAAAAAAAAAAAAAAAGATGATGAAAATTTGTAATTGTTTTCTAAAAATTTCCCTACATACTTTTAATTTTATTATCTTTTCATTTCTAAAATTAATTAAATTTAACAAAAAAAAAAAAAAAAAAAAAAAAAAAAGAAAAGGATGAAAAAGAGAAAAGAAAAACTTAAAAAAGTAAAAAAAAAAAAACATACACCATGGACATCTTTCAGCATAATATACTTTAAATGCTTCCTCATCTGTTGGTAATCCTTCATCCAAAGCAAATGCAACATTTAATTTTTTAAATACTTCACTTTCAACAAATTTTTCCATTCCATCTTCACCACCTATTTCTTCATCTAAAAATATTTCACATATCACATATACTGTTCTGCTTATTTCCTAAGAAAATTATCCCAAAAACGTTTGTTCAAACATTGAAAAAAAATAAAAAAAAAAAAAAAAAAAAAAAAAAAAAAAAAAAGAAAATTTAAATTTAAAAAAAAAAAAAACAAAACCTGGACCCCATACAAGATGTAATGTTCGGAGAAAATTGTTTTGATTTTGGTTAATTTTAAATAATCGTCGTATTGCTTCAACATATTGAATACCAATCGATTTCATATCTTGTGCACCACGACCATAAATTTTTCCATCAAAATCTTTTATTCCAGCAAATGGATCAAATTTCCAATATTCCTATAATATTTAATATTTTGAAAATATTTTACAATTAAAAATAAGAAGAAAAGAGACAAATGACTAATTTTTAAACTTTTCTTTCTTTTCTTCGTTCCGTTTTTCTTTTTTTTTTTGAAATTAAAAAAATAAAAAAAAAAGGTAACATTTTTTAGATTTCTGAAATAAGTATAAATTTATCAATTTTTTTTTTTTTTTATACAGAAGAAAAAAAAAATTCTAACTTTATTAGGTGTAGGAACAACATCAGTATGCGAATAAAGCATTAATGACGGAAGTGATTGATCACGTCCAGGTAAAGTCATAATAATAAATGGTTTACCTGGTACACACTGAAATTATTTATTTTCACCAGGTAAATTCATCAATTTAATAAATTATAAAACTAATATGCATATGTAAGTAAATATATAAATGTTTGTATGTTTACAATTTCTCATAAATGTTATATATTTCGATTTGAGAAAAAAAAAAAAAAAAAACCGGATAACAAGCCAATAAAAACAGTCATTTCTTTTTTTTTTTTTTTTCTGAGCATTTTGGAATGAAAAGAAAAGTAAGTTAAATAATATTAAGTAAATATTAAGTATTAACTGTTTTGAGCAAAATATGCACCAAATTTATGAATGAATTACCATAAAATATCTTCAACCGGATATTTTGTTTAAATTATAATAATCCATTTCATATACTATTATTAATTTGTATCATATATACAATAATATGAATAAAAATTGACATACCTCATGAACGGATCGTTCAAAATTCAATCCATCTACTAAATCAAATAAAAATCGAATACATTTCTCTGAAAAAATTTTGCCTTTTTTTCATGAAATATTTATACTATTCTGTTTTTTTTTTTTTTTTAAATTATATATTGTACAACAATTCCAGTTTTTGGATATAAAAATTAGTACAACGATGAAATGGATAGCAAAGTAATAACATAAATGTTTCTGGATGTTTTTATCGGAAAATCGGATTGTTCAAAACAATCACAAATTAAATAGAAAAGGCTAAGTTTGATAAGAGAGATGAAATTGATGATTTAATATGATTTCATCTTGTGACTTTCTACCAGGAAATTACGTATAACTATGTCCGGTATGTAATTTCAGCATAACCGGAATGACATATAATCCATAGTAATTGAATATTTTAATATATACTCCATTATATATTAAATTTTATAATATTATTATTATTATTAACACTATTATACTAAATGATTACTATTAAAAAGTAACTTTATTTATATATTTGAATTATTTATGTATGTTATTGAAATTATATAATTTCTAATAAACAAAAACACAAATAAAACAAAATAAAGTATTTTTTAATCATTGAAATTTTACCGTTACTAGAAGAAAAAATATTCCGGAAAAGATCTTTATGAGTAAATTTTGTAAAATGGAATGAATTAAAATAAATAATAAATTGAATCTAAAGCTATATAATTAAATATATGAAAAAAAAAAATTTATATCTTTTATTTTTTTAACAAATTATTTCCTACCATAATCCGGATTTGGATGAGCTGTATTGATGCGTAAATATTCACGGAAATTTCGTAACGCAATATCTTCGTCTTTTTCCGGAATTACTGATGTAACATTCATTCTAAAAATGATAAACGTTAAATAAATATTAACCAGTAAATATTTGAAATAAATATTAATAATTAATAAATAAATATTTAGCAAAAACTAGAATTGATTAGAAAATAACAAAAGCAATTACAAAGAGTAAATTTTACGGAAAACCGGATATATATTACACGGATAGAATATTTGTAATGAATTCAAAAATCTCTCAGATAATTATTACTAAAAAAAATTATCCAACATTTATGGAATTAATTTTATAAAAAAAAAAAGCATAAATTTTATTTAAATTGCAAATAAGAGTGAATCAAAATAGCGTAGCGTAATAAGTAAACGTGCACGCTACCAAAATTAACTTTAATAAAAAGTTCACGTAAGCCGGCATTAAGTTACACGTAAGCTACACATTAACAAAATTACATTTTGGTATAATCGTAAATGTATGCAACGAAATAAGCAATCGTTGTCTCACACATTTATTTGTTCATTTTTATTTTTTTTTTTTTTTTTTTTTTTAATAAATAAAATATAATTTAATTTGAAAAAGAAATTTAGCTAAAATTATATTTGTGTAAGAGAATGGAAAAGAAAATTTAGTATAAATTTTTGATTTATGTAATAAATTAAATTCTATAATAAACGTGTACGTTACCATAATTTAAAAAATTTACGTATGTTGAATAATTAACCAAAATTAAATTTCTCATTTTATACTATATTGTAAGTTCATAGAGAGGAACTAAATAATTAACATAATTGATTTTTAAATATATTTAAATATAATTTGAATTAAATTACTTAAATAATTTGGATGATAATTTTAAATATACATATTATTATTGATTGTTTTTTATTTCTTTTTTACAATCAAATTGTATTTATGTAAAAAGAAAAAAAAATAAAATAAAATAAACTTAAAGCCTGGAATAGACTAAATTGAATTGACGAATGATTTTTACGAATTTTATTAGAATCATTCGTTAATCAAATTATTAGGTATTATTATAATTTCCATTTCACTTGTAACATCTTATTTAGAATAGAATTTCATGATGTTACTTAAAACTTGAAACAATTAAATTAATTAAATTTAAATTTATTAATTAATATCATTTCAATTATCGGTTCACTATAATATATTTTATCATTTTTGTATTTATGGAAAAAATTTTTGCTTCATTTATTTTCTTCCTGTAATTCAATTTTACATCTCTTTCCGGATTCATTCTTGGTTAATGAGTTTATCTGCTATTATCTTACTATTTCAATTCTATATCTTTCCGGATTTATTCTTGGTTAGTGATTTTACTGCTTCAGTTCTACATCTTTCCGGATTTATTCTTGGTTAATGTTTTTACTATTTCAATTCTACATCTTTCCGGATTCATCTCTGATACTTATACTATGTACTTTTTTAAAGTTATTTTCAATTTGCTCATCATCCTTTCAGTTTCATCACCGTAAATCATGGCAATATATCGTTTGAAAATATATTACAAAATATTTAATCATAACAACGCTTTAAGAAAAAAAAAAAAAAAAAAAAAACTTTAAACGTTTTTTCACGTCTTTTAAACGTAAATGATTCATATATTACGGTAATATTAATAGCCAATACAAAATCAACAACGTTTTTGTGCATTGTCGAAAAATTTTTTGAAGTTAAAAATAATTAAACTTAAAATCAATCTGTTTTGTTGCTATCGAATTTTTTAACAAAAATTATTGATTTCTCAGAAAATGAAATGCGAAAGAAAGAAAGAAACAAATAAATAAACAAACAACAAATCATTCACTACATACAGCGATCAAAGATCACAAGCAAAGAGAATTGATTAAACAATTAAAAAAGTTTCTGATAGATATTATAATTTCAATGAATAAATGATGGAGCTAATAAATGAAATAATATTATCGTAATGATTATGTAATTGAATTAGTTCAATAAATTTATTAAAATAAAACTATCTAGCAAATATTGATATAATTATTAGAATTAAGCTTCCAAAAATATTTTAAATCTTTAAAATATTTGATAAATTTTACAGATAAGTTAACAGAATTTCAGACTTCTTCTAATTCTATTTCTCCTAAAATATTAAAACAAAAAAATAAAAATAAAATATGAAAAAAAAAATGTAAAAAAATGGAAATTTTAATGACTCATATCTGTTGTTTCATTTTCTGAAATGCGAAACATTTCTGAGATGCAAAAATAATTTGATAAAGAAAAATGAACCAATTTTTAATTCAAAATTTATATAATTACTAATCAATTGATTGTTGTTAAAGAGAGAGAGAGAGAGAGAGAAAAAAAAAAGCGAAAACAAAGATCGAAATTGATTCGATAATTAATTAGTATCATTAATAAATCATTAATAAATGAATAAAAAAAAAAAAAAAAAATCACATAGCAGCATTTTTTTCCTTAACTTATCATTATCAATTAGAAATAATTTTATCAAACAAAATGAAACTTATTCCGAAATGAACTGATATATGATTAGATAAGATATTTAATGATATGATAGTTAATAGTAGTATGAAGTAGAGTCAAAATTATTCATTGAAAATAAAAACTTTATTAAATTTCAATTTTAAACATAAAATATCAAAAAGTTAAATTTTATTTTATCAATGATAATAAATGAATTGATCTATCTATTTTCAATCAATGCTAGACTATCATTCATTACAACACGAAGAACGAAAACTATTATCTTCGGTATCATCAAATCATACACAAAAATACACAAACATACACAAACATACACAGACATGCATAGACATACACAAACATTCATAAAACGATGATTAGAAGACGAACTTTGGTGGTAATTTTTCAATTGCATTGTCAATTTCATTCGTTTCTCTTTTCTTTCTTTCCTTCTTACCTACCCTACTTAGTTTCTTTTTTTTTTTAGAAATAAAAACAATTTTTTAGAAATAAAAACATTTTTAGAAATTTTTAGAAATAAAAACAACAAAAAAAAAAAACAATTTTATTAACATTTTCCATTCAATTATTTTATTTCAAATTTGAATAATTTTAATAATCATTAATTGTTTATTGAATGTTTTAAATAATTCTCAAAAATGATCATTTCATTGATTTCATTTGTAATTTGGCATTTTTTTTTTTTTTTGAATAGCAATACGAGAAGTTACCAAAATTTATTTAAAAATATAAAAATTTAAAAAAAAAAAAAAAAAACGAAAATTTATTTATATATTTTTCATATTTAAAAATATAAAAAAAGTATACAAAAGAGAATTTACTTGAAAAACGTTGTATAAAAGATAAAAAATTATTAATGAAAAAAAAAAAAAAAAAAAAAAAAAAAACAATAAAAACTTATTGATAGAAATATAAAATGAATTACTAATTAATGAAAAGTTAATTTTAATAACTCTATTGAAAAAAGCAAAATTGCTATTATTCAAAAATTATTTTCGCTTAAATTAAAATTACATACTTGGAATTCTGTTTTAAAAAAAATATTTAAATTCAGCATTAATCGTCTAAAATTAAAGATTAAAAATTACATGCAATTAATTATAATCTTTCATTAGCATTTGCTACAGTTATGAATATTTTTTCATTGATGAATATCTGATAATTTTAATTTTAATTACCACCATACTGTCTAATCTTTAGAAAAGATTTTATTTTTGATTTCACCAAATTTTAATTATTTCTTCTTTTAATACAAAATTTTTAACTTTAATTTTTATCTATAATATTATATTATCGTTAGCAAGTTAAATAATTTTTTTTTTTTTTTTTTTGTTTTCTTGAATATTTTTTATTTTTTAAGAAAAAAAAAATGAAAAATAGCTAATGATTGAAATGAGAGCACAAAATCGATTCTATCTGTACAATTTGCTTCTCAACGTTAATTAATTAAAACGAAAATTTCGTTTCCGTTTTTTTTTTTTTTTTTTTTTTTGAGGATCAAAATTGCATAAATCATTTTTTAAAAAATTTACACACAATAATTTTGTCCAATCTTTTTTTTTTTTTTTTTTTTCATTTGCTTAGCAATTTAAGACAGACAAAAAATTTTTTACAAATTAATTTTAAAAATTAAAAAGTTTTTTTTTTTTTTATAATTATTATTCAATTCTTTCGTATCTAACTTATTTGTTTAGTATTTTTCTTTCCAACTTTAAAAAAATACCATTAATAATTTCATTAGTAAAACTAAAAATAGTTTTATTAATAAAAATGAAAACTAATTAGTTTGCTTTTTTTCTAATGAAAAAAAATTTTGCTTTTATCAGTTAATATATGTTTAAAAAATTAAGCAATTTTTTTTACAAAAAAAAAAAAGAAAACAATTACTGTTTATCGTATTTATTATTACTCTTAAAATGAGCTAATTTTCATTTTCTTAACTTATTTTTGAATCTTTTTAATTTATATAAAATTTTTTCTTTTCAATAATTTTGTTCAAAATTATTATTAATTTGAGATATTTAATAGTTTTTCTGGTTTATAGCATACAAATGACGATTTCAGTTTATTTTATTATTTTAAAAAAAAAAATTTTAATTATAATTCATTTTGTAATTTGTAATTAATCAAAGCAATTAAATATAATATTTCTTTAGAGAAATGAAAAAGAAAGAAAATAAGGGACAATATGTTACTTACTAATGTATCAGATAAATAATTTTAGCAATTAAATTTATCGAAATTTTTATAACATTTGAAATTTTAAATTTTTGCTAAAAAAAATTTTTACGCAATCAAATGAAAAGAAGTAGAAAATAGACAAGAGGAAAAGCATTAAAATTAATTTATAATTGATCTATTAATTTGCTACCCCAGTTAATGCTTACAAATTTGAAATTAATAAATTAAAATAAAATTTTAATGAAGTGAATTGCTTATTTGATCAAATAATCAAATAAATTTAATAAGGTTTGATAAATTTTCTCGTTCAAATTTACATTTTTTTTTTTTTTTTCAGAAAAAAAAATTACATCTATTTCGGAGATTTGGCTATTTTTGTTGTTAAAATTAAATCATACAATATATTTTATTAAATTAAAACTTTGAATTATTGTAATAAGATAGCAATCATACAAATTTAAAAAATTAAAAAAAAAATTAAAATACAGAAAAAAAAATATTTCGAATTAATAATTTTTACTTTTTACTAAAAAAGTTTGTTTAAAACATGAATTCAAATGATTATTATTATTTTAAAATAATCCAATATTTACAGCTATTTGTCATACATTATTGGAGCTTTTTTTTTTTTTTTTTTTGATTTGCTAAATTTTATTAAATTAAAAAAAAAGTAACAAAATATTGATGTTCATAATGATGAGAAGAAAACAACTGCTAATTTATTCTTTTTTTAACAATACAATTTTTTCGTTTTTCATTTTAGTTTCTGTTTAAATAGCTTTAAGTTCAAATGATAGCAACAACATATGTTTTAAGAATTTCTCTTAGCAAACATTCATTTCTAATTTCATTTTACAATTTTTGCAGTGCATTTCATTATTTGAAATGAAATGAAACTAAAGAAGAAAGTTTTTTTTTTTTTTTTGATATTTGCTAAATTTTAATTTTTTGAATTTTAAGCAACCAAAAAATGAACAATTTGAAATAGGATTGATTTTTGTTTGATTAAAAAAGTATTGCTAATAGTATTAGAAATTTCAAATATTAAAAATTAGAAATTTTAAAATTTATTAGCAATGTTACTGGTAGGGAAAAAAAACAAAAGTCAATTCCACTATTAGAAATTTTATAAAATTATCCTATTGGAGTAAAATTTACAATGAGAAATTTTAAATTATTTTTTTTTTTTAAATTATTATTTTTTTATCTGATTTAAAAATTTTTTGTGTGACAATTGCAACTTTTTTTGCAAATATTTTAATTCACATTTTTCGTATATTAAAAAAAAAAAGAAATTTAATTTTTCAGATTCCTATATTTTCAAAATGACTGAACGAGGACATATGCTACGATCGTTGTCAAGAACAAAAATTGAGATGACATTAGCTGGAGTGAATACTGAGCAAGCAAGATTAGTTCGTATGGATGCAGGTGAAACAGCACGACGTGAAGGACGGTGTGTTTTCGAATGTTCATGGGAAGTTGCTAATAAAGTATGAAATTTTTGAAAATTATCAATTAACCATTAAAAATTTGTGCATAAATTTATGAAATGAAATCTACAAGTTGGTAGCAAGTAGTAAGCAACCGGTTGCAGCAGGTGATATAGCAAGTGGTAGTGAGTGGTAACAGTGGTTGCAATTGTTGGTAGCAATTGGTAGTAAATAGTAGTAGATGGTAGCAAGTAGTAGTATCCGCTAGCAGGTTGTAGCAAGTAATAATAATTATTAGTAGGTGACAAACAGTATTGCTACCGGTTGGTACTTACTAATCATAATCTATCGCTATTTGATACTACTTGCCTCCATTTGCTACCATATATGTGTCATTGTCTGCTACTAGCACTAGTCACCACTTGCTACTACCTCTTGTCACCATTTGTTACCTGCTATCATCTGGAGCTACTTGTCACCATTTACTATCAATTTTTACTACCTGAAAATTGATGACAAGCCACAAAAATTATGAATTTATAAACCAAAAAATTTCTATTTCACCAATTCGTAAATATCCAAAATAAAATCATACCTTTTTTTTAAAATTCTTCTTTAAATTATCTTAAACTATTAAAGTTCAAAATGAAGATAATGTTAAAAATTATAGTTTCCAATGGAAATGACATTAAATATTTAATGTAACAATAAAAAAAAATAAATTTTTTTATTAGCAATTTAAAAAAAAAAAAAAAAAATTTAAATAACAAAGAAAAAGTTCAGTTTATAGCCGAATAATCTTAAAATTCTTACTGATTACTCATTGAATTTCATTAATTTTCGTATTATGTGTTAACATAAACTGCTACAACCATGAATCCTCCAATAGCTAAGAAAAAGAATGAATTGATAAGAATACTTTTAGTTGCTTAATATTAATTTTTGATATTAAATTTAATTTCGTTTTTTTTTTTTTTTTTTCGATTATTTAATATTGAAAAGAATACTTAACATCATTTTGAATATAACACTAAAACCTTTGTGAATCTTTTGGATACTAAAAGAAATACTTAATATTTTAACTTATTCAATATTTTGATCATACTGCCTTGATTCAAAAATCAGTATTAGCGAAATTATTAAAATTAAAAAAAAAAAAAGTGAAAGAAAAACAAGATAAAACTGAATTCAGTGTTATTGTTGCAATAACTTTAAGTGTAATAAATTTAAAAAAAAAAAAAAAAAAAAAAAAAAAAAAACAATTAGTACAGATCAAATTAATGCATTTAGTCTAAATACTTTTAAATTATTAAATTTAATAAACTTCATCCTTTTTTTTCTTTTCTAGAAAATTGCTTAATCGAATAAGTTGTAATAATCTAATTCAATCAATTTATAACATTTTGACAAATGTCAACTTAATTTCATTTATGAAAAATGAAATGATACACATTTGCAATTTACAATTATAATTTAAAAAAAAAGTATTCATTTATAAATAATTTGAATAAAATTTTAACCAAATCATTATGTAAATAGCATTTATTTACTAAAATTACTACTAATAATTACATCAATTAATATTTCAAATAATCTATCAAAATATTGTCTATCAAAATTTTCATATTAATTTTCTAATTATTAATTTTAATTTTTAAAAAAAAAACAAAATTAAGGTTGGTGGTATTTATACAGTATTACGCAGTAAAGCACCAATAAGTACCGAGGAATACGGTGATCAGTACTGTATGTTAGGTCCATTACGTGATGGCAAATGGCAATTAGAAGTGGAACAAATTGCGCCTGAAAGTCGTCATATTGCAACAGCTATTCACAAATTGAAAGAAGGTGGTTTCAAGGTAAACATGTGATATCATTCAGGTATGACTTTAGATAGGTAACATAATTAGGAGTTTAGTTAATTTATTTTTAGCTAAAAAAAGAATTAATTTTTTTTTTTTTTTTTTTTAAGACAGTTTATGGTCGATGGCTAATTGATGGTTATCCAAAAGTAATTTTATTTGATTTGGGTTCTGGATCCAGGAAAATGAACGACTGGAAGCATGAACTCTACGAAAGGTTAAATTTGCAATAATTTTTTTTATTTAAAATTTTTTTTTTTCAGTAATACACATTTATGATATTGTTATGTTTGAGTTAATAGATTAAAATAGATTAACAAATAATTTTAATTTCATTTTATTAATAGTTTATTTTGTTCTTCATGTTTAATTTTTTCATAATTTAAGCATATGTCGAATCTAAATTTAAATTTATTAGCCAAACAAAATTTGGTGTTTTATAATTTTTTTTTTTTTGAAACAATTCTTAAAATTATATCAAAATTATGGCCATTATTATTGATACATATATATGATTCAATAAGCAGAATTTATAAATTTAAAAATGTTTAATTTTTTTTTTTTTCAAGTTTATAAAAGTAGTCAATTTTTGCAAACATCATTTCTTTCCAAATAAACATTATTTTAGGCGTAAATGAGTTAGACTATAGATTATATTAAATTTCAATTAATAATTTAACGATTAACACTTAAAAACTTTTTTAGATGAATATGGAAAATTTTGAATTATATTCAAACAATTCATCAAAATGAACGAAAAAAACTTTTTTTTGCATAATTTATTTATACAAACTTTTCGTACTTCAATTGCACATTAAATAACTTTTCGTTTCTTCATTCTTTCTTAATTAATTAAAAATATTTATTATAATTAACTCTATATGTGTTAACTACTTTTCAAGTGTCAATTTGCTTAAAATTTTATTGTAACTTTAGATGTCAAATTGGAATACCATACGAGGATATCGAATCAAATGATGCAGTAATTCTTGGTTTTATGATTGCTATGTTCCTGAAACATTTTCTGGATTCATACAAAAATTCCGGCTATCATAGTTTGGTTGTTGCACATTTTCATGAATGGCAGGCTAGTATGTATTTTCTTTTTTTGCTATGTTATATTTTTTATTAAGATATGCTAATTCCTATTCTATTTTCTGGATTATGTTCTATTTAAATGAATAAATTTTAATGTGAATTATTCAGCTTCTGAAAATACTCCAATATAGTGCGAATATTTTTTATTAAATTTGTTCCTGATAAAAATCAAATCAATCAAATCATAACAGATGAGAATGCTTTTTGAATTTGTTAAATTTTTATTAGGGCTTAATTCTTTACTATTTTTAGCAGTAAAATAAAATCTACAAATCCATTACTTTTTTTAAATTATTTTTTTTAAACTTGTTTTTTTTATTCGAGACTTTTTCACTTGTCAACTATTTGAGCGCACTTGTCCTACAAGTACAAGTTGCAAACTGTAATTAGCAATATAAAGCATACTACAATGATGATTACCCGGACAAACTTAATTTGTGTTAAGGTGTTGGATTAATTAATGCAAAATTTTGGAATTTGGATGTTGCCTTAATCTATACTACGCATGCGACATTATTAGGGCGACATTTAGCAGCTGGCGGTAGTGATCTTTACAATAATATTAATCGATTTAATTTAGATGAAGAAGCTGGAAAACGAAAGGTAATCATTAAATGATCATAATAAATTCAAATACCATTTCATAGCTCACTGGAAAATTCATTTTTTTTTTTCTTAAAATATATAAACGTATTTATTTGATTTGTGTTCTTACTTTATTATCAAATTGATCATTTTTTTTTTTTTTAATAAAATATCAATTATTTAATAGTTAATTTAATTCAGTTCATTTTATCAGATCAATTCAATTACGCTTTTCTTGTTCATTATATCATATTTTCATTGTTAAACAGAAATTAATTACATTATTGAATTTTAAAATTTGTTTAATGGATGTCATAAATCTGACTGACAATAAATTCATTATATTAATCTAAAAATTTAATGAATTATAATGTTTTCCTTCTTTTTTTTTTTTTTTTTTTTTTGATATTTTTATTATTTAAAAAAAGAAAATTGAAAAGGGGAAGGAATTTTTTTTATTGATTTAATATTTTTTTTTTTTTTTAGATTTATCATCAATATTGCATGGAACGAGCAGCATGTCATATGGCGCATGTTTTTACAACTGTTAGTGAAATAACGGGTATTGAAGCCGAACATTTAATTCATCAGAAACCGGATATTGTAACACCAAACGGTTTGAATGTTGTCAAATTTGCTGCTTTACATGAATTTCAGGTTATTCAATGGATAAGTCCTCTCTATACTTTTTTATTTTATTTTCTGTGTAAAATTTTTTTTTATTACTTCATCATCATTTTCTTTTTATTTTTTTATTTTCAAAATTATTATTTAAATCGAAATGAGAATAAAAACGAAACATTTTGTTTCTAATAATTAAGCCATAAATATTAATGACATTTATTTATAAAACGAAGAATTTGAAATGCTTTAAAATGATTTGAAAATGAATAGATGATAATTAACGATTAGTTTCAACTTAAAATATTTTGTTATCATATCAATTGTGTATTTTTTTTTTTTTTTTTTGCTATTTTTATAATTTGACTGTTTGAAAAAAAAAAAAAAAAAGTGAAAAATATGAGAGAGATAATATACTATTTCATGAAAATATTAAACAAAAGACAAAAAGAATTTGCCCTCTTTTTTTTTTTCCATTAGAAAAATAAAAATCTTTTTTTTTTTATTTAGTCATCTAATCTTTAATATAATATTATTTTCTCTAACAAATTATTTCGAATTGTTGGAGGAGAAAAGAACAAATTTACGAATAATTGAATTCAAAGTAAAAGATAATTTTGAATAATGCAATGATAGCATTTAGATTCTTAAAATTATTTCTTATAAATTTCTTCCTATGAAAAATAAAATTCATTCATCACATTTGATAATGTCCGTATTGATATTTTAAAATGTTAAGTAATAACTATGAGAATAAGGTGATCAAATCGATATCTGTAAATATTTCTTTCTTAATTTACTTCTTTCTTTTGTTATGCCAACAAGGGAATTATCTTGTTGTTTAGGTTAAATTAAATTAGAGAAGCAAAAAGTAATCATTTCTAATTCTTATTGCGATAATTTTATCCATATTAAAATTTAACAAAGAATTGACTTTTTTTTTTTTTTCAGTATCACATAGTTGAGATCATATAGTTTTGAGAAAAATTAAATCGATCATAAAGAAGTAATCTTTTTAAATGATCTTTTTGCTTTCTTCTCATCCTTGATCGAATCGATCATTTTTTCAATGCTTAATAATAAATTTTGTGACCTTTGTTTTTGCTATCTTTTAATAATTTTTCATATCATTATGTCAAAGGTCATTTATCTATGTTAAACTCTCTTTTTTTTTTCTTTTTTCGGTTTAAATTAAGCAAAATAATTGCAACCATAAATTAAATAAACTGAAATCAAGAAAAAAAAAATTAGAAATTACATTTACAGAATTTACATGCTATAGCAAAAGAAAAAATCAACAATTTCATTCGTGGACATTTCCATGGTCATTATGATTTTGATTTGGACAAAACAATATATATGTTTACTGCTGGACGTTATGAATTTATTAATAAAGGTGGTGATATATTCATTGAATCATTGGCTAGATTAAATCATTATCTGAAGACAACCGTTGATCCACGTTATCGAGATGTTACCGTGGTAGCATTCATCATTTATCCTGGTTGGTTAGTTAAATTTAACATCTATAAAAATTTTTTCAAATTTTATTAATACTTGAAAAGATGTTAGTTAGATATGCAAAATGATTAAGATATAAAAAAAGATAAATTTTAAACAATAATGTTCTTATCATTTCACGTAAGGTATAAATTGAACAGAAGCAAAGTATATGATAATATCAAATCAAATCTGTTGTCATGTAAGCATTGAAAAATAGTATGCTCGTAACTGTCAAGTAAAATACGTCCGTGATCGTAGTAAAATAAAGCTAATTTATTTAGAGAAAATAAGACTTAAAACTTTTATTGTGATAATAATGATAAGTTTAATTCTGAAATATTTTTATCATACTGTAACACATTGAGAAACATGCTCGAGTAATGCTCAAATTAAAAAATCTTATTTTCTAACCAAAAAACTCATAACACTTAATTATTCTTATCTTATCAGTTTCATCGTCGACTTTATCATATCAAATATTCATTTATAGCTGCGGCAAATTCATTCAATGTTGAATCACTGAAAGGACAAGCGGTAGCGAAACAATTACACGAAACAATTGATAAAATTAAAGAAAGTATTGCTGTAAGAATGTTTGAATCATGTCTTAAAGGACATATTCTGGATGCAGATGAATTATTGCTACCAATGGAACGAATTCAGGTTGGTTTTTTTATGATATTCCTTACATAGATAGATAAGTTGTTAATTCAGGCTTTATGACATTCCTAATTAATTTGTTAATTCAAAAATTTATATTTTGGTTACTTTTTGGATTGCGAAATAAAAACAGCAAAACCATAAAATATTTCTTAGATTTGATCAAATTTTTATTGAATTCAATTTGCTACTTGTTTAGCTTGTTATCTTCATACTGTGACAACACTAATTTAAGATTGAAAATTAATATTTGCTTAAAATAACATGACAAAAAAAGTGGATCATACATCTATGATTTAAATAGAATGATTTGATGGATTGTGTATTTCTCACACATCGTACTGCTTTATCATCTCATTAATCATTCTATGAGTAAAATTAATCAGTCTTTCTTTTTTTACTTGTTTATATCACAAAAGCTTCTTACTTTGGATATTTTACTAAAGTTGCGATAAAGAAAGCCAAGATTAGCACAAAAATTCGTCGAGTATCATTGAAAGATCAGTGATGAAAATGAAATTTGCAGTTAAAACGATGTATTATGGCAACAGCAAAACATGAACTACCACCGGTTTGTACGCATAATATGTTAGATTCATCCGATCATGTACTAAATGCTTTACGGCGAACACAACTTCTCAATAATCCAAGTGATCGAGTTAAGGTTATTTTCCATCCAGGTGAGAAATAATCTCTTTCTACTTTAATCTATGCAAACAAATCATGTAATACAAATCACCTGAATCGGACCGCAATATTTCTATTTATATTTATATACACTTAAAATTCTAAATTCTTTTTTTTTTTTTCTTTAATAGTAATATGATTTGCAGAATTTTTATCATCAGTTTCGCCGCTAATAGGCCTTGATTATGAAGAATTCGTTCGCGGTTGTCATCTTGGTGTCTTCCCAAGTTACTATGAACCTTGGGGCTATACTCCGGCAGAATGTACAGTAATGGGTGTACCATCTGTATCGACAAATCTTTCCGGTTTCGGTTGTTTCATACAGGTATGATATATTCTGTTAAATTTATGAAGATATTATTTGCCAATTTCTTACTTATAATGTTAATTTAAATATTATGGATATTTTTCATCATTAATTCTCTAAATTCAGCAATTTTTCTTTAATAACTGATTGCTATCACTTACTGATTTCACTGATTGACAGATTGCAGTAATTTTTTGGGATTTAAATTTAAACTGTAATAAAAATATATAAATTAATTAATAGGATATTATTCACATAGTGTTGATTAAATTGCCCACTATAATGTATGTAGATATTGTTATTAGTGAAAATTTTTAGCAGAATGTAATGGATGCATCATCGTACGGCATTTACGTGATTGATCGTCGATTTAAAGATTGTGAAGGTTCAATACGTGATTTAGCACAAGTGCTGTACGACTTTTGTGGACTTTCACGGCGTCAGCGTATCATAATGCGCAATCGTACGGAACGGCTTAGTGAACTCTTAGATTGGAAAAATTTGGGAGTATTTTACAGGTTTTTTGTTTTATTCAACTATGAATAAATAGCAAAAATATTGGGAATTTTTCAAAATTAAGACCTGGCATGATAAACAACTTTTTTTTTTTTTTGTTTAGGCTTTTATTAACTTTTTAAATGCACCGTCCAGTGAAGTATAAAAGTATCTCAGTTGTTAGAATGTTATCGGAGAAAAATTTTTTTTTAGCAGTATTATATGCTCTATAAGCGTCGACAATAGCTATATAATTTTATTTCTTTTTTTTTTTATTTCTTTTTTTTTTTTTCTTTTTGAACATAAAACATCGCGTTTATACAGTAGTAAAAAGGAAATGAACAAAGCGAATATGAAATTATAATCCGATCCATTATTGTTCTTGCTGCTTCTGTACCATCAAAGAATTGAGTGAATGTGATTGAGTGAGGAGTGCTGAGAGGGAGCGGAATGGAGCGGAGCGGAGCGGAATCGAAGCTTGCATTAGCTGACACAATGGCTTTTATTCCCTTATGTAGTGGACATTAACAACAAAGGCATTTTACAATAAAGCGCTAGTTAATTTTGTTTATCCTTTCTATAATGGAAATTAATTTATAACATTATGTTAATCGCTTGTAAGAATAACTGTAAAATTGGAAAAGTTAAAAGTAATAAATCAGACTATCAAATTTTAAATAAATTTCCTGAGTTAAATTATCTAAATTAATTATAAGATTTGTAATTTAGATTGGTGTAATATTTTAAATAATTTTATATTGCAGAGATGCACGAAGGATGGCATTGGAAAGATTACATCCAAATTTGGATGAAATAATTGATAATAATATTGGCAAAGTACCATCGGCATCACAAAGTCGTCGACCAAGCTTTTCGGACACCGATGAAAATGATGAATAATTAGCGCTTTATTAACATCTGCGCATTCTTCTATCTTCTAAGAATTACTGCAATACAATGTTCATTTCGAACTAATGTCACCAAATAACAATTAGGAAATAACAAAAAAACATTCTCATTCAAGAAAGGGAGGAAAATATGATATGAATTGTGTGCATATTTGTATGTTCCAAAAGCAGCCTCCAACCTGTGACAATAGCAAATTGTTAAAATATTCCTCAAACTGTAACAATAGCTAATTAATAAAGAAAATTACATAGCAATAAGTTATTATCCTTTAATTTCAATTCAATTAATGAGCAAAAATCAGTAAGCTAAATGAATAAATTATTAATTTATGTGTTTTTTTTTTGCCATCTTTCTTGCTTGCTTCAGATTTTTCATTTAAATTAATTAGCTAATTTTCTCTGTTTCATTATCAATCTAAACGTAGGTAATAATATTCGTTATTTAGGTTTTTTTCTAACCTCTAATTTTCTACCTATTTTTTACCTGTACTAGGTACATAATTAGGTATTATTTCTCATACACATGAAAATCTCAACAACCTTCTTCATCCATACAGCAAAACATGAAATCTTTGTTCATTTAGAAGTCATTTTTCAAATTGATTACTAATATGCATCAGTTGTAAGATTATCAGAAATGTTTGATTAATTCAAATTATTGTTTTTGTAAACCATTGAAGAAATTAACAAATTATCGGCGACCCATTTGCATGAATATTAATTAGTTTCATTAGTTCAAAAATGAATGAATAAAATATACTGAAGATTATGAAATATGAATAAGAAATTCATATTTCTAAGAAATATGAATAAACATAATCATTTCATATTGTAATTTTGATCATTTTCAAATATTTCAATTGATAGAAATAAGATGAATTAATGTAGAATAGTAATTAAAACATTCATAAGAATAAGCTTTTAAAAATAATTTATTTCTGGTAAATAATTTAAATGAAAGAATAATTTTTTATCATTTATGAAAAAAGTATAACGATGCATTTTTGTTTTAATCAAAAAAAAAAAAAAAAAGAATTCAGTTAGATGTTGGAATATTCAAATGCTTTTTGTTGTTGACGCAAAAGTCGGAATGTCAGTTCCCGGTGAATTAATTAACCTTTTTCAATCTTAGAAAGAGGAAATTGAATTCAAATCATAAAAAAATTCTCCTCCATTCTTTATTTGTTAAATTTTTGTTGCATTTAAATGGCTTAATTATATCGTATCTTGCAAAAGTATAAAATTTAAATTGTTTGAAAATTCAGTCAAAAAATTATTTCAAAAATTGAGGTCTTTTTTTATTGATTTATATATATTTTAGTGAATTTCTCTGTTTATCTTTCTCATAGATTTCAACGCGAAAAAAAAAAAAAAACAAATAAACCACTAATATTAGGAAAATAATTTGATAACATTTGCACAATTAATGTTATACAAATCAGTTCAAAAAAAAAAAAAAAAGAGAAAGAATATTTAAATAAATTTTGCATGAAAAATGATGAAATTCATACAAAAACATTGTTTACTTTCCAGACATTTCATCAAATTGTCCATTTCTGTGTATAAACTTTTTTTCTATCACAATTACTACAAATTTAAAAAAATACGAAAAAAAAAAAAAACTTAGCTTAAAACCTATAAATAATTTAATTACTTACTTAACTTAAAACCTATAAACAATTTAATTACTTTTTTCTTCACATTTTGAACAAATTATTGTTATCACTAATCACTCGATAGACAATGAACAATTAATTAATTAATGTTCTTCTAACGTTAATGATTTTTTTTTTTTTGTTAAAGTTTGCATTAAAATTTAGTGTTAAAATAAGCGTAATTAGTTGTTCGGTATAATAAAAAAAAAATTCCACTAAGCATTCTAATCATTTAGCTTTTTTTATATGAAAAATAAAATGAAAAGCATTTAAATTTAAATTTTCAACTCCTTGTTGTGTTATTTATTATTAACATCGAAAAATAAAAGAAAAAAAAAAGATTAATAAATGATAAGAAATACATATAACAAATGAATCATTGGAAAGAAGTTATAAGAAAAAACAAAATGAAAAGAAAAACAAACAAACAAATTAGACATAAGAAGGAATATATTTGCAAATAAGTTAAGATGTAATAGAGAACTAAAATAAGAAATGATTTGATTGATATAATGATATGATGTATTAGATAGAATGTGATATGTGAAATAAAATGATATGATTGATAGATGATGATTTTAAAAATGATATGATAGAGGATGATTTTAAAAATTAATAATAAAATGATATGATAGAGGATGATTTTAAAAATTAATAATAAAATGATATGATAGAGGATGATTTTAAAAATTAATAATAAAATGATATGATAGAGGATGATTTTAAAAATTAATAATAAAATGATATGATAGAGGATGATTTTAAAAATTAATAATAAAATGACATTTTAGAATTTTAGGATAAAATAGAGCAAATAGAAAAAAAAATAAAAGAAATATTGTTATTTCTTTCTTTTTTTAACTTTTCGTACGTAAACAAATAATCACATACGAAACACTGATATGTAGAATTCTCGGGGATAAATCATACACACACATACACATATATATATATACACACACACACACACACAAAAATACACACATACACATACACACACACACAAACATACACATACACACACACACACAAAAGTACACACATACACATACACACACACACACATACACATACACACACACACAAAAGTACACACATACACATACACACACACACACACACACACACACACACACACACACACACACACACAAACACGCACACACACACATACAACATTTCCAAGATAATATTGGAAAAAAAAAATTAATTACAAAATAATTTTTATGCAAATGCCTAAATGCAATCAGTATTTCAATTTGATATATAAATCAAATTAAACACTCTAGCAAAACATTGTATTCATTTCATATAAAAATTAAATATATATAATTAAATTGAAAAGATGTAAAATAGCTAATAAAAAAAAAAAGAAATTAATTTTGATAATAAAACATTTCATATTTGCTTATTTTTTTTTTTGCATATGATTTTGAGCATAAATTTTTCTTTATTTGTTGAAAATTTAATAACTGAAATGAAGATGATGCATGCAGAGGCAAAAATGGAAATTAAAAAAAAAAAAGGAAAAGAAAATTTTTTAAAAAATTATTTATTTCAATTATTTTTCTTTCTCTCTCTCTCTCTCTCTCTCTTTCTTTCTCCCTCAAATCTTTTATGAATTTTATGAATTTTTTTTTTTTTTTTAATAATTGAAACATATGCATTTGTCTAATTATAATTACAGTTTGACGGAAATGAATTATACGTTAAAAATTACTGTTGCAGAAAAAAAAAAAAAAAAAGGAAAAGCTTAGGATGAACAATAGCTATTGTCTATATTATATTTTACATTTATATTAATCTATAATTAACAAAAAATTTCTTTCTCAAATATTTTAAGTTACAAAAAATTTAAAAAAAAAAAAAAAAAAAAAACAAACAAATGAGCAATTTAAAATTACAGTTTTAAAAATTTGTGCGTTAAATCATCAAAAATGCCTTTCAAATGCAGAAATTAATTTTTAAAAATGCAAAAATTATTTATCAACAAAACAAAAAGAAAACAAAATTTCATAAAAAAGATTAATCGACCATTAGATTAAAATTTCAATCAAACTCATTGCGAAAAAATTTATGTCAACAAAAAAGAAAGAAAAAAAAAAGTGGATAGGAAAAGAAATGAAAGAATAAAAGATTTGTTTAAAATGAAAATTCAAAAAAAAATTTACATCATGCATTTTTTATGCATAATTCAAATAACACTGATGAATAATGAATGATTCATTTGTGAATAATTTCACTGAAATTTCAAAAAGAAAAAAAAAAATTTTCTAAAAGAGATTTTGTGAATAAAAAAAAGAAAAGAAAACAAACAAAGGCAAACAAAGTGAACAATGGTTAATTATGCAGAAATTAATCAAGCAAAAAAAAAAAAAAGTTAGATTTAAACTTAAAAAGTTAAACAAATAAGTAAATAAAGTTGATTTAATAAATTAAAAAAGATGTGAAAAAAAAAAAAAAAGAAACACACAATACTTATTCAAAATCTAATTCAATTAAACATGTGAAATTTTATTCATTTAAAATTTAATATAAATTAGCATCCATTAAGCAATGAATTAAAATTGATTTCAATTTTCTTTTCAACTCATTCTTTTCCCTTTTTTTTTTTTTTTTACTATAAAATTTACAAAATAGAGACAAAAATAATAGCTACAATAATTGTTAATACAATTCAAATAGCAATAAATGATGATAAGCTAAAAAAAGTGATAATGAGTGATAAACCCGCATTGAAATGATCAACTGATAAAATGATTTGTTTCCATCAATATTTTACTTCATTTGATCTATTCGAATGAATTAAATTTTACTACCACTACTTTTTTAAATCATTTTCATTTGCAACACTTTTCCTTCGTTTCCTTGAAAACAAAACAAAAAAAACAAAATTATTGAAGGATATATTAGTTGAAATTGGAAATTTGATTAAATTTTCACTTACAATTTAAATTCATATTTAATTAAATATCTTCCACAATTTAAATTTCAATTTTTTAAACAAAATTTGCAGAAATTAATATTTTAGAAATTTATGCCATTTAGAAGGAATGTATTTTCTAGAAAAAAAAAAAAAAAAAAAAGGAAATCAAGCAATAAGAAAAAATAAATTTATAATTACAATTTTTTTTTTCTGATTATCTAAATGAACAGCTTTGAATAATAAGTTGAAAATGAAAAACAAATTTTACCTTCTTTTTTTTTTTTTGTTTTTCATCACGGAAAAATTTAAAATTTGTTTTTGAAATCAGTTCTACTAATTTTAAATATATTACAATTTCTTTAATAAATTAAAAGTATGCTACTAAATAACACACAGTATACTAAAATATGA